AAATTGAAACATTATTATTGTTATTATTAAACTGAAATCGGTCTGCCTTTCAGGTACGGCAACACTGGTTTACACTGTAGATGCGAAGAGAAATTTAGCCAGTGCAACGCCACTGCTAGCCAGGGGTCTTTAACGCGCTTCACGCAGTAGTGATACTCGACTGCACGCCGGTACAATATTCGTCCAGATCGAAACAGGCACGGGTGGAGAATGAACACAGGATCCCCAGGTTCTGGAATGTGAGCCTTCGCTCCTTGGTTCTCCGAGCTATGGCGCGTTAACACACTTGGACCTTTAGCCCCGAAAATGCCAAACAACAACTGCAATGGCAACAGAACTTGCCTTGTTTGATGCACACAGTGATGTGCCCCCCTTGCCCAACACATCTGCTCTCCGTGTCATCCAAAACATACGGAATATTCAGATTTATTGCGGACTTGTCAGAAACAGATGGGCTGCCAGCATTCTTAGAGTCTAAGCCCTCGCATATCGAAGCGGCTTCTACATACATTCTCAAAATGGCTTCTTAGGAACCCAGGGGCGATTCGCTAGAGAATGCAGGTATCTCTCCTAGCAACTAAAATACCTGCAAAAGGGATTTTTTGGTCATGGGGACAATAGGTACACCTAAAAGACTCCACATCAACTATTTTCTGAGAGGTTGTCAAGGCTAGCATCACTTCCGCAGAGCTGCAGTTCAGCACTGCTGCGAGAGCATGTGGCTTCGTCTTGCGTCCGATACGCTCTCTCACGCGAAGGGGATGCCAAAAGAAGCGACGTGGTTGCGCAAGTAGCTTTGACAGCGTTGGAGCACCGTGCAAGCTGCGCCAGCCTCGACTATGCGGCACAAAATAGTAGATGCCGAGATGGGCAAAAGTCTTTCGCAAATCTGTCCTCGCTTCCATTACTCAAGTTCACGCGCAGAAAAAGGGTGAACAGGCAGGGCTTATGTCTGCTGAGCGGAATCGGCTGGAATGCTAAGTACTTCCTGTCCTGTGGGCCGGTCCCGTGACCATAAAATCCCCCTCACAGGAATTTTTGCCACCGGGACAGATACCTGCATTCACCAGCAAACCGCCCCTAGCACTTTCCCAAAGTACCCTTCAAGGTTCCTTGACCTTTGGAATTCCCTCCATTGTCCCTGCCCCCAAGTAAAGCATTTTTAGGAGCACAGCTCTTAAGTGCCCGTTTTCGGTTAAGCGGCGTCAGCGTCGGTGTAACCATGTGTTGCATTATGAGACGTTTTCCCACTAAAGTTAGAGGGGAAATTTTCCCGCTAAATTTAGCGGGGAAATTTTTCTGCTAAATCTAGCAGGGAAATTTTCTGCTAAATCTAGCAGGAAAATTTTCTGCTGAATTTAGAGGGAAATTCTCACGCCAAGTTTAGCGTGGAACTTTGCCTGGCGGAAAAATTTCCCCGCTAAATTGAATGAAAACATTTTCCCGCTAAATTAAGCGGGTTAAGTTTCCCCTCTAAGTTTAGCGGAAAAATTGACGTCACGTGACCTCGATACCAATTAAGTTTCCCTGCTAAATTTAGCAAGGAAAATGACACCACGGCATTGTGTCACGTCACCTATGAATGAATTCAGCAGCAGGAGGAGAGGAGGAAAGGATGAGCAGGGGAGAGGAGGAGGGAAGGGTACAGAGGAAGAGGAGGGGCATACCCTCCTCTCCGTACCCTCCCCTCCTCCTCCTCCTCAAGAGCTGCGCTCTAGTTTAGCATTACAGAGATTTGTAAGCGTCTTTACTTTTTTTTTGTGTGCATGCTACTACAGTGGAGTCATCCATTGATGCATAACCATGAGCTAAACACTGCCTAATATATGTGCACCACTGCTTCACAGGGCCCGAGAGCTTTTGAATCGCTTTACAGGATTAGTGCTGAGACTGGGAACGGTTTCGCAGTCATCACAAAGGAAGAGAGGGGAGTTCAACGTTCAAAACGGGCAGTCAGTCGCATGCACATTTCAACATTAAATTAAAGAAACACTAATACCCAAAAAGAATTTTTTTAATTTTTTGCTAGGCGATTTATTGAGGTGCTTGAAGATTACCCAATAAATATTTTGCCACAGCGTCCTGTATATTTTTAATAAAGCCAAAATATGCAACTGCTCGAAACCGAAGGAGGTTACCAAAAATTTACGTGGCTGTGCAACTTTTTTTTTTTTGTTTAATTAACGTATTTGCAGTTTTTAGAAGCCACAAAAAATGGGTATAATATTTTTTTTTTTTTTAGTATTGAGTTGTACCTTTGATGACCCATGGCTTTGGTGGTTGTGTCTAAACCATAGAAAATGGCACATGACCACGGAGAAAAGAGTGAGCACGACTCAAACCAGCCAGTTCTCAATCGGCGGTTTTTGGGTAAAAAGAAAATTAATTTCGAGCTGCCAATTGTGTTCTGGGTGGTTGGGCTCTTATATGTCATGTACAAAGAAAATCCTGGCCACCATAAATACCCAGTCAGTGTCCCTTTAAGCAAAAGAAAAATCTTCCTCTTTCATCTGTCTATTTATTAGTTCCGAGTTTCCTCAAGTATGGCAACATCACCGTTTCCTCCGCTTTCCATTTTGCCAATTCCTATGAAGGTCCCTCGAGCCACTGCAACAGCCCAGACCCTTTTCAAAAGCCCATCGAGCAACAATGGGGGTCACCATTCCTCGGGCACGCAGCGCACGATTGGATCCGAGCTTTCGCCTAATGCCGACGCAGCTCGTTTTTTATACAAGCCGAGCCGAGTTTGTACATAAAACTCTCTTTGCCAATACATGCTCGCAGTATGTGCCTAAAAAATGGCGGATTCGGGTAATTCGTGCAGCAGCCACTAGATGGCGTGCACTTTTGAAGAGGGTCTATGCACCGAGAAACTGAGGAAGAGCAGGCGACGAGAGGGTGCAGAGATTTCAGAACGCCGAGCTTTGGTTGGAACGATTAGTGCATAAACCTAAAGCTAGCAGCCTTTCTCCACTGCACTCATCGAACCCGCTACGCTGGCACTTGGAGCTTGGCTTTCACATTTGAATGCGTTCGACGACTGCAATGGAGATAAAGGCAGCTAGCTTTAGGTCCACCCACCAATCGTTCTATGTGGAGCTCGGCATTCTGATGTCCCCCCGTACTCTCGCCTCCTCCTCTCCTGCAGTTTCTTTGTGCATTGCCGTTGCAATTGCCCTTGCAATTGAGTCTCCTGGATAGATAACGGTAATTGTGACAAAAACGTATGGCGAGCTTACCTTCTTTAACTGCAGGGGTGTCGCTCCACTGCCCTCCTGTATGCAGGCTGGGAGGAGGCATTCTGCCTTTCTCCTCAAACTGTGCATTTTCATCCATTAAAGTGGGTAGTATCTCCTCTGGTTCTGTTAAGCGAGGCAGCACAGAGAGACGTTGCCCGAGCGGTTCGGTGGAAGTTTTCGCAATAGCTTCGCCACAAAATCTAGTGCTTTGCACGAAAAGACAGTTTCTACGACAGCTTGAGCCATACGATTGCAATAAAGCCTTCTAGATTACAGTGACTGCGACAAAAATGTTTGACGAGCTTACCTTTTTTAACTGTGGGAGTGTCGCTCCACTGCCCTCCTGTATACAGGTTGGAAGGGGGCATTCTGCCATCGTCCTCGAACCGTGCACTCTCATTCACTGAAGTGGGTAGTATCTCTTCTGGTTCTGTTAAGTGAGGCAGCACAGAGGCATTTACAAAAGCATCTTAGTGGGAAATTTTTTGTGGAGGTTTCACAGCAAAATTTAGTACTTCATATGAAAATAATTTATTATTTTTATAGTATTAGTCTCAACTTACCTCCATCTATGAATATTTATCTGACTAAATATGGTTGCTTGCAAGTTGCATGCTTTTAGTTTTTTTTTTTTTTTTCCAATTCGAAGTTCACGAAAATTTTGACAAGAGTGACTGACAATTATATCGTGGCGAAGCGCAACTACGAGTAAAATACTTTGCTATCACGCTCAGTCAAGCCCGACTATAGTGAATAGTACTGTCAGTGCAGACTCTTTAGATTGCGACAACATCTGATGGCAGCCTTTTAATCCTAAGAAAAGAACGGAGGAAAAAAACTGTGACCGCTTGCCAGTACTAATACTGTCTCGCTTTATACAGACAAAGAAACAAATGCGACTCCCTCGCCAAATTGTACAACTAAAATTTCTAAGATATGCTTCTTGCAAATTACTCTCTCCTGGAGGCTAAACTGGTGTCATGGCTAAATACCTAAAGACTTTTGCATAGGCCAACTCTGGACCTAAATAAACCCACCCCCCAAAATCTGACCAATTTTTTTTTTTTTTTTTTGCAACAATATTTTTTTTTTAATTTCTTTTTGAGATATTCTAATTTGAGGACCTATTTCTGGGTAAAAAGAGGTAGACTTAAATGGAGCAATATACAAAGTAAGTTTTGACGATTGCCGCCATCTGTGACTTGAAGAGGACTTTGGGCACCGACAACTTAAAGAATCAAGCTTGGCGCAGTATGGCCATAGTAGCTTTGCGCCATAAAGCCCGTATTCAACAACAACTTAAAGAATGATTATTTTTTTTGTGGCTTTTGGATAGACAGTGAGCATTGATGATCATCACACTCAAATCAAACATTTTTACTCATATATCAGAAACTCTGTATTCATGATGATAGCGTCCCATCTCCATGGCCACGGCCGTACCTACGTCTGCAATTATGTCATGCACAATGCATCACGAAAAAAGATCTATGAAACCGATCAACACTAAGTGCAATATTGCAAATAAATATTCATGCTGGTTCGATAAAACTGCACCTCCAAGTACCTAAGAAATATTTAACAAGTATATAATTCACTGCTGATTTGTTCACCAAAATAAACTGCTTCACTTCTGATGCTGAAAAGCTTTTTTGCGTGAATTACGGGTCACGTCTTTGCTGTTAAAGCAGAACTTGGCAGGAAATGTTCTTTAAGTTTGCCTTTTTTGACTGCAGCAGCATTGTCCCATCCTCTCTCCAGGTACAGCGAAGCAACGAACACTCTTCCACAGTCGTTGGAGTGAACACTTTCGCCCATTGAAGTAGGTAGTGTATCCTCTGGTTCTGTGTCATTGGAATGCATGGTCTCCCCAATTGGAGTTGGCAGTATCTCCTCGGGTTCTGTTGAGGAAGACAGCACACAAATGTTGCTATAAGTCAGGTCAGAAACAAAGCCACAGTGAACTGTGAAAATGAGAAATGACTTGTAATTATTCAGATGAATGAACTGTACTGACCGAATGGAGCAAAAGTTACAAAGCTGTCGAAAGGCAAAATCCCCGGCGGTGCTGAGATTCAAACTCCAGGACTCTCAATTACTGGACAGACATGCTAACTGCTACACCACACCGCCTTTACTTTTCGGCGCTTCCTATCTGTCTTATTAATGCACCAAAATGAAATGTATCCAATCAGAGGTGTTCAGGAAGAGCATGCCGTTGCGTGAAATGTGGTAAGGTTCTTGCTGGCATGTGGTATGTGCTTCTGCTCTAGAATGCCTCTTACTGTTTGTACCATCACTGCATATGTAGTGTTTAGCATGCCCGTCCGGAAATTGGGAGACCCGAAGTTTGAATGCTAGCACTACCAAGGATTTTCATTCCGCAGCATTGAAACCTTTGTTTGATTTGATTAGTATAGATCATTCATTGTGTCCGACCATAAATTCGGAGGTCCAGAATTCGAATCCGAGCACCGCCAAAGCTTTTGTCTTTTGGCAGCTTCGTAACCTTTGTTCTATTGGAACAGTGTTGTTCATTCATCTGTATATTTTCAAACATTTCCTCTTTGGAAAGAGCTAAAGATGAAAGTGCTCCGTGATAAAATAAAAAACTTATGCTGCAGATTGGTCACCATAGCACGTATCTACAAAAAGGCAAAACTCAAAACTTTAAGACGAGACAGCTGAGGGCCTGCGTTCTTTGCCAAGCTGTATTTGGGACAGAAATAAGAGCGTGGGTCATCAGAAAATGATTTGGAAGGGGAGAGCAGCACTATATTCTGTTGAAGGAATATATAAAAAAAAGCCCCCCCCCCCCCCCCTTTCCCTCAAAGCTCCACGTCATGATTAGTGGTTTCCCCCTCTCCAGCGTTCACTCTGCTAACGTGGAAAGAGTCTACGCTTTCTGGGAGGAGCTTACCCTGCTATCCTTAACCCACAACAGACCATAAAGTAGACTATTGCTTCCTGGTTTTCCAAGTGTCCAGCTGTTACACTGTGGGTTATTTAGAAATTAAATAAATCAATGTGTCACAGGACCGAAAAGAATGGGATACGAGCTGCTGCGTCAGTGAGCCAGTTGCCAGCAGAAACAGGAACGGTGCATAGGGTGTGGACCAAACTAATGTTGCGGGTCTCAGCACTTTTAATAAAAGGTGATCAAGTCCAATTGGAACAGAGTGGTTATTTGGGCAAGGTGGTTCATATTCAAAGGTTTAAAAGCTCCAAAAATATGCAAGCACCGAGACAAGGGTAAATAAAAAGAAGGAGCAGAAAGAAGCCTGTAGTACAAGAAATGAACTGAAGCAAAATGGTCATTTGTTTTCCATCGTCTGGGTGGTTGTGTATTTTGGGCGTATTTGAACACTCAATAGGGACACCAGCCTACTGCCGTTCATTGTCAATGCAACCTGCACGGCAGAAAGAATGCCATTGCAAGTGGAGCTTGCCTTCCTTTAGAGTGATGGAAACTACTTGGTATGCATCCAGGAGCTTATCGGAAGAGGACACGGCACCAGCGTCTCCACAACGCGGGCCCTCGGAAGTGGCAAAGACAGGTTCTTTCTCGTGCCCCGTTGGGGGACATTACAGAAACTTGCCAGTCAGCTCGACACTCTCAACATGAGCCAACGCACAGAGTTCATATTTTCTTTTCATGCAGAACTACATTCTAAAAAAAGCTATAGCTGTAAAGTACCAGCTTTGCTATCAGAACAATGCGTCCTCTCTTAGGCCTTGGTCAGGCAACAAGTGCCCTAGCTCTCTTTTGCACACTATCTCTGGAAGCTTGCGGCAGCAAATGTATAGTCCTCCTCACTGGCAGCGTGAGGTACATAACACTAACTGAAATTTTGTGACCACATGAGGTGCATATCACATGGCATAGTAGAGAGCAGCACAGTTGGCCAGCTGCCAAGAGCTTTCAGAAACAACAGCCAAAAGGAAAAGGCAGGCAAAGAGTTAGAAGAGATGTTTCAGAAAGATGCCACCCGCCCCGAAACTACATGAAAATGTCGGTTGCGCTCCTCATCTAACAGATTCTGCATATGACTGTTTGACTGACGGATCGAAATGCAGCCAGTGGAGTCACAAGGGGGGGAGGAGGGGGGGGGGGGGGGGGGGGGGAGGACCGCCCCGGGTGCAGGGCTCAGGGGGGTGTCGCAGTGAGTCACGCGAGAGCAGGGGAAGGGGGGGGGGGGGGGGGGGGGGGGGGGGGTCGCGGCGGACTATCGCCCCGGGTGCCGCTGACCCTTGTGACGCCACTGAATGCAGCTGCAAATTTTTTGTTTCAATCCCCAAAACACACCATCATAGAGCTTTCCCAACTTTCCATCCTGTCAGTGCCAATGAAGGTTCCGTGAGCCAAGCTATTGCAATTAGAAGGTCCTCTGGATAAGTTGCAGCGGTTGTGAAAAAACTCTTAAATCGGCTTACCTATTTTAATTGTAACATTCCTGTTCCACTCTCTCTTGAGATACTGTACAGACTGGAGACCACTACAATTGGTAGCATCTCCTCTGGCATTGTAGAGCAAAACCACACAAGGAAGCTGCCCAGCAATTAGGTGAGGAACAAATGTTTCTTTGTCCGACAGTAGAAACAAATCATGTTATAGCCTTAAAAATATCTACAAACAAGATTGCGCAATGCCGTGTTAGACAATAAGACAAAAAAAACACTTCGTATTGCTTGGTAGGCCAAACACCATAGAAGTAACAGCCAACAAAGCGAGGAAGGGCTGTGAAAGAGATTGAAAATCAGCAGAAAACAGGGATGGTGCTCTCTTATCTATCTGAGGAAAAACAATTATCTGGTGCTGTGTTGCACGAGGCATTGATGGAGTTCTTAAACTGCAATTCCCCAGCGAATCAATTGTTCGAAATATCCTGGTTCTCGTTTGACTCACTTAAATTATGAGTACATAACCTGTGCTTCCAAGTGGAGGATTTTGAAATCCTTACAAATTAGTCGGATTCGTGTAAGAAAGCAGAACTCCAGCAAAAAATGCATTGATTGTTTTAGCAGTTTCCAAATTTGGTTACCTACACTTGCAACGTAAAAAAAACAAAAAACCATTGGCTTGTATAAGAAGGGACGTAAAAGTTACAGCGCAGCTCTGTGGTAACGCGCCAGCTTCACAAGGTGCGGACCCAGGATCGAATCCTGAGGGCTGCGGGCATTTAAGTTTTTCTCGTTTTTATTCCGAGCATTTGGCAATACTGACAATAGACGCCCTACACTATTGACAACATATATTTAAAACAAGTTGTCAAAGAAATTGTGCAGGACGATAGGGAGCCGAAATCCACCACTTAATGGACTAAATAGTGTGAGCTCTCTGCCCTGTGTGTATAGCATTACTCTTAGGCAAAAGTTTGAGTGATGGAAGCGGCATTTGTTCTTTTGAAGCAGGTTCTGAAGCAGGCAAAATATGGGTTTGGAGCAGCCACTGATGCTTGTGAAGCAGATACCAACATCTGTTAACACATCTGTTGTGCTAGTCATTGCATCACTAAATGAGCTCATCTTTGACCATGACTGAGGGTGTCTCTTTGACACTGGAGCATATTACTTATTACCTTTTGTAATAAGAACAGATGGGGCACAAAAGGAACACAGAGTCTTCTTTTTAGAAATAAGGCTCTGGTCAGAAAGGACTCCATTTACAATGGGTACTAAACAAATGCGCAGCCCATCAGTTGGGATAAAGCTTCTCTCCCCTCCCACTTTTACAGCCGGTAGTTCATTTAGCCTGTAAACATATTTTCTGTAAAATGCAAGCAAAAACCAGCAGACCAACACGTCTACCTATGAAAAATCGTTCCTCAAATTTTATGAACCTACCAAACTCGAGAATTGAATATTATGAAGTGCGAAAACCACCACCCACAAATATTAGGGAAACATACACTTTTGCTTTAAAAGTAACACTGCTCCTTAGCGGTTTTGGAACCAGTGTGAAGTCAAAGTTTGCTGCCCTTTTGACCGACAGCTGCACGTAGACTACCTTGACTTAGTCGGCTACCGTATTCATTCAAATATATATACTCGCATTTCTTCCTCTTTCTTGGTGCAGCTTTTTAAAATCAGATATCAACCTACAATCAAGACAAAAACTACAGACCTGTACTAATAGTACCGGACATAATTTTGGAGCCCATCGCGGTGGCGCAAGCACTCACCCACGTCAGCCGCCACTCCTAGAACTCCCGTGCAAAGCGGTGAAGCTCGAAAAGCATGCGCTGGTGAGAGCTGGCACGAAGCTATGTGGTTGACATGATAATAAAGTGGTCTTATCAGGAGAACAAGACCCTGATTTAGTCTCATCACAGTACCTGTTATTCTACTACTTTGAAATGTTTTCTCGCGATTTTTAGCTCCTGACATCACCCATATCCTCTGAAACTTTAGACACCGTTGACGATCAAGCTGACAGCGCATTAAGCGGCCAACGCAGTTGCCGAGCATTATCAATACTTTTTTTCACCTCACATTAAAGCGCAGCTGTTGCTATGAGCCAATGGACCAACCAAACAGTGCAAAGGTGCGACATCATGACAATGGGCCTTTTCTGCAAATGTTGGGCGCCATCTATCAGCAAGCAGGAGAGGCGTTTTTGATGGCCTTCCTTGCTTCCGGTTCTGCCTTCTCCGAGCTATGTTGGCTGTCTGAACGCGTTCGGGAAATGCGCTCACTGCTCAGCGTTTGTTTTTCCTCTATCCAACACAATCGACGAGCAGATTTGTTTTCAATTAATGCGTTAACTATGGACGACTTCGTCCGTTTGTACATTTTTTTTCCCGAATGAATGGACGACTGACTTCGCCGTGGCGCCCATTGTGACTGACGACACAGTTGAAGGTCTCTTTGACCTATGACTGAGAAAGTACAAACGGTTACATTAAACTATGATCCATGCTATATGCAGTACCGGCAGTCAATTCAGAAAATATTCCAGACCAAGTTACAGTTAAGGAAAGCCTTTTTTTTTTTAATTGCAAGCTATTTGTTTAATTTGCTCGAAAATTTTAATTGGCAAGATGTATTCTCATAAATGTGAAAGCTTACTCTAAACTTCCGAAAAACACCGGCGTCTGAACGTACCAATGTAATTCTCATCAAAGGTGGATTTTAGTGGTGGATTTCACCTTGTGAAATTTCAACGCATAGCTCCATTTCTATTATAAAATGAGACCAACAAACTTAGCCGGGTCAACGGCAGACTTGTTCAGCAACTATACTAAATGTTGTTTGAAAGCGCCGCTGACCCTGGCAAGTCTGTTGGTTTCGTGTTTTACTGGAAAGAAGCACCACTTTGAAATTTCACAAGGTCAAATTCACCACTAAAATACATGTTTAATAAATATCTAAGATTAATACGTGCAGCCACCGATTTCTGAGTGAGCCTCATCATAGATGTCACCCCACTTCAGGCTACAGCTGAGTGTGACTGTAGGTCCTGAAGAAAAACAAAAAATCGGTCGTACCTGTTTGCTCTTTTTTCTTCATTTTTAGTTTAGCGCCTGTAGACAATGTTGCAAACTTATTTTTTGTTTACTCTATACATACACGAGGACAACACATCAAGATGATTCTTTCCTCTTTCTTATTTAACCACAAGACCAGCAGATGCGGTCGTGGTAGCGATAGATCTGCCCCCATTTCACTTTCTGGGTGTGCACATAGCAACAAACTGCAGCATAGCCACTTTACCTCAATGATTTATAAATATTTGAAAACTGTGGGTTATTCCAATGTTTAAGACAACCAAAAAGCAGACAGGCAGTTTGCGTAGCAACGCGAGACCGTCACATTTGTAAACAAAAAAGTGTGCCAGTGAAACGCACTATCCTAGAAACGCCAACTCCGAGGCGCTCGCTCTGCGTGGCACATAAACGACACGACAGCATACCTAACCAATCTGCTGACTTGTATTCACACACAAATAAAAAATGAAGGAACAAAAACATGAACCTTCCTTCAAATGGCAACTGCAAACGCGGGAGTGCTTTGAAGGCTGCCATTACGAGCTGTCCGCATTGTTTCGCTGGATCGCCCGAATCCAGAGCTGCCGCTTCGTCGAATGCTGGCTAGTAGAAGGAAACCCAAAGAAGCTTAAACCGCAACAATGCTTGCTGTCATTACTGCAGTTAACAACGAAGCAGTGCTAGGGCCTATCGGAAAGCTTCGAAACGCGCGACCACTGCAGCCTCCTGCAGTCCCGAGCCGGACGTAGCACGGCACCAAAAATGGCGGACTCCTGTCTGCTGCTGCCGCGCATGCGCCGTAGAAACCCCGCAAAAGGCCCATTGTCCATCTTCCTGTATGTGTTCTTTCATCGGCTAAACCAATGAAGGGCAGCGAATGTCTAGGGACTTTTCTTTTTTTGCATGTGTTAGAGCCTTCAAATGTGCTCCGACCTGAAATTAAAAAAGCTATTGGGATCCGGTGAGTAGAGGTGCTGTGAAATACATATTTGTACCAATTTTATTTTTTCCCACTTCCCTAAACACTAAAGTTGACTCAAAATAATTTTTTTTTTTTTGTTTTGCCTAGAGGTTGAAGTACAACCTCGGTTTTCTGTAGGGGAGCCAAGTTGGGGCAAGGGAAAAAGTAGAGAGGACATAAGAAAGAGAAGGTGGGCAAAAGTGGAAAGTGTACGTCGGCAATGGGCGCAGGTGTGGCGCAATTTCGAGAAAAAATTGCACTTCGGCGCAATATGTTTGGCACAGCACTTCAATCACTCTTAATTCAATTAGTCGACCGGGTTAATTAGACTATTTTTTTACGCTTCATAGACTCGATCTTGCCGAGAATTGTGCACCATACTCCCTGAATAAACTTCTGGGTTTGAGAAAAGGGAAACACGAACGATCGCAAACCGTACCAGACGCTGAAGCGTCACGGATTCCGGCTCTTGCAGGCTCCAATCGCGGACGTGATCGCGCACGTTTCCCGTCGGCCGAGCGATCAGGCAAGCATTTAGTTGGAACAGTGCCAGGTGCCAGCCATCGCCTCTTCCAACCTGCATTGTTTCGGGAGAAACATTTCTTTACTCGTTCTGTGAAGGCACACACGTACTCACTCACTGTCACTGCACTCACCAAACACTGTGTGGCCTAGAGGATAGACGAAGTCGCTCTCAGTGAAATGTTTGCTACACACGCGAGAGCTCCTCGAGTTCGGTTTGCCCATTTTGAGCTTGATGAGCCATTCTTTTCTTAGTTTCTCGTCGGTTGGATAGTAATAGAAGCTCACACCTTGTTCACCATGGTAGGTGTTACATTGGGGAACGGAACAGTATGTTACCATCTTGGGCCCCTCGAGCAGCGCGCGCTTGGCGCCTCCCAGGCCGTCAAGCTGCGATGAAGTGACTAACCACAAATAAAGCACTGTTGCGTTGCCAAATAACGCACGAAACGATTCGAGATGCAGCTGACAACCTAGCGTAAACACTGAGCAACTTTAAAACCGACAGAAACAATCACATATCCTACCGACGACGTCATTACGTCAGACAGTTGGAATCGCTAGACATGTGCTTGTGCTAACGGCTACACGGGCATTTGGATGTTAGATTGCGCCATCTACAACAATTTTGATACGCGCTCATCGGCTCAGAGACGATGAGTCATGGTGCCTGGCTTGACTTTTGGAAACGCAGTGCTATGCTTGATATCCGAAGTGCATGCAAGACCAGAAATAAAACAGCGCGGAGTAGGTAGGCTGGCTCTGGGGGCGCATTGCAAAACGCCAAACCAAGGAGTACAAGGAGACATGGGATGAGCGTCTTTTGAGAGCAGGGAAGCGGTGAGCAAGATAGAATTTGAGGATCGGTTGAGGCAAATGGATGGGGACCAATGGGCACGAGTTTTCAGCTATTCATACATGAGGAGTATAGACAGTATAGACACAAAGTGGAGACAGCGCACTACGAAATTAAGAGGAAAGTTGAGCGGTCTCAGTTAAGAAAGGGATCGGTGGCTAGACGGAATGCAGACAAAGATGGCTCTGGAAAGCTATACATTAAACAAAACAGTTATTGCCAAAGAAAGCATTTATGACAATTCCAGGGGAAGCTCATTGTTGTTTGGGGCGAGGACGGGTGTTCTGCGGACCAGAACATACAGAGTGAAGTACCAGGAAATGGATACAGTGTGCACCAGTGGTGTGCACTGCTTGTAGAGGGGAAGACGAGACGGTTGAGCACTTGATACTCTACTGTAAAGGGCTTCACTGGCTTCACCCTATGCCCACCGAAGACAACACAGATTTAATAAAGTCATTGGATTTTAGAGACAGCGAAGGGAGAGTGGATTTCAAGACTAAAGATTACCAAGCAAAGATTAAGTGAATGGTGGCAGAAAGCGAGAGAAAACTAGGTATTTTCTTATTAACTGATGGTAAGGGGGTTTTGTAGCCTCATTGTCTTTTCAATTAATTCCGCATCTTCCTCTTTAGTCTCAAACGTTAGGAAGAAGATAGCACTATTGAAGGAGACACCAGTAAATGTGTGTTGCTAGTTGAAAGAACTGTGCTGTCTGTCCTTGTCCTTAAGTGTTTTTATTCTTTCTTTGACTCCCGTATTTTCACCAACACGCTCTTTCATCTTTGTCTTTTCAAGGCGGAGTGAATATAGATTCTAAACTTAAATGATAAAACAAAATGGTTAGGTGGCGCAAGCTACCGCCCGATCCAAATGGCTCAGCCGGATTCATCCATTCATCCAGACGACGCCGCGCCGCCGCGCTTCCGCGCGCTTGTTCGCGTCGCTAGAAGCCTAGAAGTGCTCGTTTGTTGTGATCACGGTGGTGGTGATCTTCCTGTGGGAAGATTGTGCCCTTGCGTCCAGACTACCGCGATGTCAAAACGTCAGACACAGTGCCGACACTGCTTTGTTCCCGGCTGCACCACGGGGTACGTCTCTGTGAGAAAGAACGAGAGGAAAGCCTCCCTCTTCGCCGTTCCCGACGACGACGAGCGTCGTCAGGTTTGGCAGCGCTCAATCCCACAAGCGGACAAGCCACTCGCAAAGAACTCCGTAGTCTGTGAAGCCCATTTCGATGAAAGATTCATTGTTCGCAACTACACGCACGTAATCAATCGTGAAACAGTGGAAATTCCCCGGGGACGCCCTTACCTGACTGCCGATGCGATCCCAACTTTGTTTCCGAATGTCCTCGGGTATCTCTCGAAGAAACTGCCATCAAAAGGAGGGTCGACTACGTCGAACAGCGGCGTGCCGCGCGAACGAAAACGGAATCTCAATCAGGAAGACGACCACACTGTTTCAACTCCGCCAGTGACGCAGTGCGACAGCCACGAAACATTGGAGAGCATGGGCGAAGGTAATCTCCCAAGCAAGTAATGAGAAATGCACGTAGTCCCGAACGTCGTAGCGTTCGCTGTCTGTGCGCCGAGTGTCGAAACTCTGTGATTTCAGAAGTTACTTTTGTGTGAAGGCCGTAAATGTCAACAGCATTCTTAGAGACGGATGCCACCGCTGCATCCTGACCTGACCCTCTCAGCTTTATTTTTCAGTTTTTCTAGTATTTTTGTTTCTGGCAAATCGGGCACACGGTCATGACGATAATAATTTCTGAAAAGGGGAACGAGGAAGACAAAGGACAAACACAAATCTCCAAACACAAATAGGTGACTGGTGCGCGACCGAAAAAAATCTGCCTGGTCCTGGTATCGAAATGGGGACATCTCCATTTCCAGTTGAGCAAATGGGTTTTATCAGCTGCCACCATTCTAACACCAACTAGGATGAACGGCTTTAATTTTTTAAGGTTATGATGATAATGGCAAAGGTGCAAGCGAGCTGGACAAGAATGACGATAATAATCCCTGGAAAAGGGCGACAAAGGACAAACACAAATCTCTAAATACAGCTTATTACCAGGTCCAGGCGGATCTTTTTAGGTTGTGCACCAGTTGGCCTGGCTGTGTTTGGAGATTTGTGTTCTTTGTTCCCGCTCTCCAGGGATTATTATCGTCATTCTTATCAAGCTCGCTTGCAGCTTTGCATTAATTGCATTATCAACATGGGTATTGTCCCTGTCTTTGAGGCGCTTGTTCTTTGGTACCAACCAGTCCAACTTTCCATTTTGCCTTTGCTTAGGCCAGTGGTAAATAAGCTTATGGTTCCCTGCTTGTTCCGAGTGTTGAGCATTGAGCACACATGCGCATTTCTTTTGCATACACCCTGACAGAAAAAAATGAAGAGTCTGCCATTTTGCCCTCTGAGGAGGGTGCTGGTCATCTGTATTCTTCCCACGGCTACCTTTATGCTTCCATTCTTCTGAAGAAAGGCAAGCTCCCTCAGCACCACCTGCAGGCACTGGTGTCACTAGGGTCAGCGACACCCAGGGTAAAGGGCTGCCGCGACCAGGGCCGGCCCTAGAGGTGGGCGACCTGTGCCCACCTCTAGGGCCGGCCATCAATAGGAAGCGGCGCCCCCTATTGATGGTCCAGGGCACCATCAATAGGGGGCGCCGCCACACCCCCTTTTGAAATTATTTTAACTTTTTTATTGATTTGAACACAGTGCCCTTTCTTTTTGGAATGTGGTTATCGTCTGACGAAACGCTCGTGTTGGGCCATTACTCGCGTGTTTGCTAACAACGTGATTTCGCACCTAGTAGATAGGGGCGTATAAAAAGGGGGGGGGGGGGGGGGGGCACGACGGCCAAAGTTTGTCCAGAGCGCGACCCCTCTTTTTCGGGCCCCGCAGCAACACTCCCCTCCGCCTTCCCCTCTTAACCCGCCGCCACACCCCCCTGAGCACAGCACCCGGGGCAACCTGCACTCCTCCCCCTAGTGATGCACTGCCTGCATGTTTGGACATTGAGGAAGGAGCATGGTGCGTGTTAGTGCAGCAATCTATCTTTCAGGTTATTTTCTGAATGCCCCTTGAACAGTTCATTCTGTGTCTTGCCTAGGAATACAAAACAGTTAGCTGCCTTGTAATACAAAAGGGGTATTTTACTTTTTTTGGTAGTTGCGTTTTAGTGAGCTGTAGTTCAACGGTGCAATGCTTTGTTTTGACTGATGTTTCTGACTTGACTCAAAACATTTGTGCGCTGTCTTTGTCAACAGAACCAGAGGATATACTGCCCACCTCAGCAGATGAAGGCGTGCACTCGGATGATTATGGCAAGATGTCCCCATTTCCACTAAAACTGGACGGACACGAAGCTGTTGTCATCAAAGAAGGTAGGTAAAGCCCCTTGATTAATGCACTTTTTACAAGTACCGCCAACCATTGTTGTGGAAACGAACAATACACATGCCACGAGCGGGTGCTTTGCCTCCATTCGGTGACCTTGTGTACTGGCGTATTTGATGCTATTTGCAAGACAAATGCAAACACGTCGAAGGGCTTCATGCTCAAGTTTTGAGCAGCGCCCGAGGCGAGCAAAATAGAATATTTGTGGCTCTCCTTTCAAACCTGCATTATTACGCTTCGCCACATTTTTTTATACTCCGTTCCATTGTAAGTGCCAGCGTAGCAAAGACTACAAAAGAGTACTCCAAGCCTTCAGTGTCCCTGTCAAGCACACGCGCTCATTCAGTTGAGCATCGTTCAGAGGAACATGCTTTTGCAAGTGGGTTGGGCTTCACTATTACGTAAAGTATAACTAGGGTGTGTACTTTCCGGTGTTTATTTGTGAGAAAAATCGGCGGATGTTTTTCGGTGTTTATTTATTTTCAAAACACCGGTGTATTTCGATGGAACGTCTCATGACGAGGCTAAAATCGGTGATTATCGGTGAAAAAAAGCGATTGATCACAGACAGAGAGTTCCAATTTTATTCACATAGTTCATACACTTCTTCTCTAGGAAGCAACTATTTCTCACACTTGGTTATTATAGTAGATGCAAGCATACTTTCATGCTTGCATCTACACGCAAGGAACGTGCTGCCATCATGGCAGCACGTTCCTTGCGGTTCGCAACCCGCAATTATGAAAACGCACGCTCTTGTACGACACGGGCGTTGGCATTCTCTTCCAGGAACCACAGCAACCTCTGAATACATGGCTTGCACCGACATCACTTGGCCAGACACAATGAGAAAAAGGCACGTGAGAGCCTACCCTCCACTGCGTTAATTTTTCCCCAAAAGGGGCCATGGGAGACACAATGGGGGAAAGGCGTTTGAGAGCTTAGCTTCTACTGCGTTCACCAGACGCTTTTGACCCCCAGAAAGGAGGGCGGACTTACGCCACCTGCAAGCCATGTATAAACACTGGAAGAATGCAGGATCCACGAGATAACACGTTTCACGAACCTCTACGGGGAAAGGGTTTCGCTAGGTCGGAAACTAGCAATGACCGGTGTTTTTCGGTTTTAACCAGGGCGAAAATATCCAACCACCGGTGTTTTTCGGTTTTAACCGATTTTATATTTTCGTCACCGACGGATGTTTATCGGTGTTTTTCGGTTAAAACCGGAAAATGCACACCCTAAGTATAACATACCTGCTCAATAAAGCTCAGAGGAATGTTTATTGGGACGTTGCGAGATACATATATATTTTTTGTTTCCCTACGTCTTGGTGTTGCGCATTTACAGATGTTGACAGATGCTTGTATTCGAACGTGGCACGTGCATAATCGAGCGCTACAGTGCCGCTCTTATGGTCGCATCGCATGGATGGTGCAGCCATTGTAACATGGTCACATCCACTGAATTCAATGACAAAAGTCTTATTCCTAAACTTGAAGCACCTCATGGCCTGCGTAATGTCGCTTTATGCATTGTGGAAATCAGTGAGCAGCAAAATCCATACGCGCTGTGCACCTGGGCCACAGGTTCCCAGAATGCAATGAGTGCAGTGTCGGATTTATGGAAGTTCTGTAAAACCCCGAGAGATAGCCCACCTAACCTCAACAACAAATCGGCTGAAAATATGGAGTGGGCTAACTTAGAATGAACAATCAAAAAAAGGGTTTTTCAAAAATTGTGATTTTTAGGTTGTGTCCCTTCCAAGCTTGTTATGGTGGCAAGGGTCAACAAAGGAAAGGTGACTTCACTTCCAAGTCAGCAACGTTCGCTTATATTCCGTCATAGCAAACTAGCCGTATTTATGCCAATGCCATCATTAATCCCAACACTACTATTACTTGGAGTGAGCTATCTTTCAGTGTTTAAAAAAAGTATAGCAAATCAAGCCAAAAATAGGGTGGGCTATCTTTCGGGGGTAGAGCATCTCAGGATTTTACGGTAGCCTATTGCGGGATCACGCTTCCCCGCTCTCCGAATGCGGCCACCGGATGGACATCTTACGCCATCCCGAAGTCAGCCTATTGGAGCATTGCAGAGGCTGGGCGACAGCGTGCTGAAGACACGTTTTCTGTTTGTTTGCTGTCATTCACCAAAGAAGTTTCTTTAAAACCTTGTGTAAACGGTTGTAATTGTCTTTGAGAACACGTGGAAGTTTTTACGAAAGCGCAACGCCGCAGGAAAGAGGTGCAACTCGTCGAACGCAGTTCTGGCCAGTCTCATGGCGAGATCAAAGCTTCCTTGGCAACGCGAAGTGCTGCGTCTCTGTGCCTTCGGATGCTTGAATAACTAACAAGAATATATGCCGTGGCAGAGTTCTGAAGGTGTGGCGAGTGTAGACGTCTTTGCATCAGTGGCGTCACTAGGGTCAGCAGCACCCGGAGCGGTGGCCTGCTGCGATCCCCCCCCCCCCCCCCCCCCCTCTCGCTTTCACTGCCTAGCTGCATTCCCCTGAGCGGTGCACCTGGTGCGATCCCCCCCCCCCCCCCCCCCCCCCCCAGCTTCTTTTCTAGTGACAGCTGTTCCAGCAAATTGCTATCAATAAAGAAGGTATGCACAGTTGACCATTTCAGCTCACTGTGCTTGCACCCCATTGCATTGCACGTATATGCAGAGCATCAGTATGCACTCCCTTACATTCGCACCTTTTTCGAAGGACCTAACGGCCTTGATGTCATCTTAGGGGTCCTCCCAAACGTCGTCCTTGAGCTCATCCGAGAGGTCGTCCTTGAGATCATCCTGGAGGTTGTTCTAGACGTTGTCCTAGAGGTCTTCCTAAAGGTCGTCCTTAACCCTTTAACCACCAAGTGATTTTCGAAAAAAATGAACAAACTTTCCCAAATTTTTTTATTTGCACATATTTTTTCTTTATTCGTTCTGATTTTGCAAATACATTACTTGATTGGTTTCTGATCGGTATTAACACAAAACTTTTAAAAGAAAAAGTTGATTTTTATGGATGCTTTCCCTCAGTGCATGTAAGAGTAATAGAATAACACGTGCTGAAATGCGCAGTATTTATTTGAACATACCGTAACAAAAGATCAAGTGCCTAGACTTTTCTCCGTACTAGCTCAAACAAAGTTCCGTAAGTTTAGAAGTCAACTTTTGTGTGGTAGATTTCAAAGCAGGGCGTCGCACAAAGTCCTACTTTGCAGTCCTTGCACCATGTCCTGTTTCTTTCCGTGGCTTCTTTCCAGAGTTTTTAAATAGGCATGTATGCACACAACGCATCTTCATGTCACCTCCTGCTTTTTTGGAGTTGGCGGGATTCTTCTAGGGAATAGACAGCCCTTGAGTCTCGTCAGGGCGCAGTCAGATCTGCGGCCTGGTCTTGGTTGTCCTTCATTGTCGAGGTATAGCGTTGAGGCAGTAACTCTACAAGTCGGACGCGGAAATCCAGATGGCTCAATGTTCCACCTTGCATTTTGTATAGGCAAAAGGCATTGAAGATGGAAATGTCAAGAAGGTGGCAAAACAGTTTCTTGTCTTAAACCTTTTGCCCTTTGCGTGGTGATGGATAGTAAGACATGTTCTGGTCTGAGCGGTTGACGCCAGTTATTCTGTTGTTGTAGTCTAGAGCGATTGTAAACTTTGAAACTTGCTCATTCTTTGAGTTGACAACATTTTGCATTGTGGGTGAGTGAACCGTGCTTAGAAAGGTTACAAGCTTTTTGTCTCTCCATTGCATAGCGAGACATTTCCCGCGTTGAAAGGCGGCAACCTTCCCTTTGTTCAACTTTATCTTTTTGAACTTGGGCATTTCCTTTCTTCCAGAACGAGCTGTTCCATTGACATTAGTCTTTTTTGTTTGACGAGCATGTCGGCTAGCTCGGGCGAGTTGTAGTAATTGTCAATCGTCAAGGTGTACCCCTTGTCAAGAAAGGGCTTCATGGGTTACCACCATTACCACCTTAGTGTCCATCGCTTCTTTGCCATCCACATCTACCGTCCCCTTTCCAGTGTAGAGAATCAAATTGCAGACGTAACCGCTGCAGGATTTGCACAGTAGGAAGAATTTCAGACCAAACCTTGCACGTTTGAGTGGTACATATTGCTTCCACGCCAGTCTTCCTTTGAATAGCAGGAGACTCTCATCGACAGCCACATCCTGCTCCGGCGCATAGGTTGCAAGGAAGGCCTCATTCAGCCTTGAAAGCACAGGCCATAGCTTTCACAGCTTCGGGTTTGGGTGGATTGCTTTGTCCATAGTCTTCATGCTGGTAAAGTGAAGGCGGTGCATCAGAGCCTGAAAGCGGTTCCTGCTCATCGCTCTGCTAAACACCAGCGTCGCCAAGACTTCTTTTGTTGACCAATACATCTCAACTTGCGGTTTGCCAACGATTCCTTGCAAAATTATTAGCGCAAGGGACACCATTATCTCTTCGCTGTCCACCGGTTTCGATGAAGAACCCCGCGCTGCGAAATGCGGGACCGCGTAGTGGTTTGTCTCTGTCACAATGAGGTCGACAAGGTGCCAATAAAAAAAAAAACCTCGAATCAGCCGAGAATATCTTTTTCGTCAGTGGGTTGCCGCAGAATCCTAGGCACTGCACAAAACGGAAACCTCAGAGGCGCGGGTGGCGGGTTTTCAGTGTTTACGCTTTGCCACACTTAAACACTACCCAGCCCGTCGTCTTCTTCGTCACTGTGGTCGTCGTCTTAGTCCATTTCATATTCAAAAATCCATGTCCGACTCACCTTTGGAGACAAATTAGATGTCTTTATCGTCGCTACTGTTCGAACTGCCGCAAGAGAGAGCCTGTTTTTGGGGGCCGTCACCTGCATCACTCAAGCATGCTGCCATTTCTGATCACTGTTGCAAGGCTAGATACGTGCCAAAGGCCAAAACACGCTATATTTGTGCAACCTTTCCTGCCCTTTAGCGTTAAAAACTGAAACTAATGCAGATGGACAAACCTGTCTCGTGTTTGGCAGTGAAAGCAAACCATCATTTTGGCTGGACGAGTGTGACTCGTCATCGGCGATATTGGTACAACCTTCCATGACGAGTACAGCTCGGGCCGGGAGGTTAAAGGGTTAAGGTTGCCCTAAAGGTTCTAGATGTTGTCCTAGATGGTGTCTAGGACGACGCTTTAAAGTATGACGTTAATGGCATCTAGGGCGATCTCTAGGGTGATCTTAAGGACAACAAGGATTTAGCGTCGTCCTAGAGGACGACAAAAAATTTAGTGGTGAGTTTCCCCGTTAAATGTAGCAGATAAATTGACGTCGCAACCTATGCACCAATTCAGTTTCCTCACTAAATTTGGTGGCGTGCAACGATAAATGCTATCGCATTCATAGATAATCACCCCTGTGGTTTCTACAAATTTGACTGAACCATCAATTTGTTGCCCTGAGATTATGCGCTATTAGGTAACCATAGCTATGTTCCAAATCTACCCGAATGGAGCACATGGCAGGGCAACTAAAGCACGGCGGGATGGGACATTTTTGAAACGCGGCCCATATGATGGTTTGCAATCTGTCACTACCACTGTACCCCCTCTTTCTTCTCCGTCACCACTGGATCAAGCTCGTTGGGGTCGTGAGTGCTGCAAACTTAGTCGTCAAGGTAAAGTAAGACACCGCTCCAGAGACCCATACGTTTTCATGCACGTTGTGCTCTCGAAACACATCCCCACGGCGCCGATTTGACAGGTATCCAACTGTGCGAAGGCGCAGAGACGTAGCTCTTCGGCATGCCAAGGAAGTTTTGATCACGCCGCGAGCCCGGCGAGACTTGCGTTCGACAAGCTGCGCGTTTTTCGTGCGGCGCTGCTCTTCCGTAAAAATTTCCACGTGTTCTCAAAGGCAATTACCATCCTTTACACAAGGTTTTAAAAAAATCTTTCGGCAAATGATGACAAGCAAGTAGAAAATGTGTCTTCAGCACGCTGCAGCCCAGCCTCTGCAATGCTCCAAAAGGTCGATTTCAGGAGGGCACAAGATGGCAATTGGGTGGCTGCAGCTACCAAGCGGAGATGTGCGATCCAGCAAATTGTCAGGGATCAGTGGTTGCGTCTTACACATGCACTTGCGCCCCCTGCTTGAGAACAACGGACAATTGAAATATGTGCTGTATAAGCATTTTTTTAGCTTTCTTTATTAGTCTAATCTTTATTGCGAATAATTAACTCAGTGCCAATCCATACTGTGTTTTATTTTTTATTCTTTCTTACGCAGTGCACACTTCATGCGGTGTTTGCAAACGGACAAACAGCTACCGCAGTAGAAATTTGGAATTTCTATTTTGAATAACGAATTCACATTATTTTATTGGAAACTGAACGTGCTGTTGAGGCACAAAATGTGTACAAGCTTATGTGCAACATCACTGCGAAGCGTTTTACACAATGCATTCTGTGTTACTACGACTATTGCCACGATGGCACGGGACAAAGCAAGTTTTTTTGTTAGATGCAGGCTACGATTATGAAGGAATGGTGCAATTTTTCGTTTTGACCAGCGACCGTGGCTCTGCTTCTGACCTCAGTCGCCGCAACCTTTGTTTGCCGTCTTCTTCGACAGAGCCTGAGGATGCACCTCCTACTCTGACAGATCAAAGCGTGCAGTCTGACCATTCCGGCAACATGTCCATGTATCCACTGCACCTAGAGGGACACGAGGACAATGCCGTCTCAGTCAAGATAGGTGAGCTATTAAAACCTGTGTGGAAAAATATGACAGTGCAGGAAAAGGCTAAATTTTGCATGTAAAGCATCTGTGTCTAAGGAAGCTCTCATAGCCACAGGCAGTGATGATGGGCCAAATTTCCTGGTCTGCCACTACACTTAAAGGCATGTTGGCAGTGTAAACTATACCCGCCATCAACTTTCCTCTGCAACTTCATCGGGGCTATGTTCCGTCCTACCGTAATTTGGCAAATGCTGAAGGCTACAATTGCAAACTGCCAGTCAGTGCGTCGAAGGGAGAGACATGACTGTACTTCATCTTACTAGTTGCACGAAGTGCCGTCGAAGCGACAGGTGGAGGAAAGAGGCAAGCCGCCTTTGTACGAATTTTGAGTGACAGGCTAATCTCCGAGGGCGACAAAAGTGACTTCTGGAACACACAAAGCAGGGACTGGGTAAGAGGGACATTCTTTCTACTCCACTTCTCGAACTGCGTGGGTTACGTCCTCGCCCCTGTACCTTTGGTAAGGGCTGTCAGGCGGTTCGTCTTCGTCACTCTGATTGACTCCAGGGGTCATAGGATTTGCTCCTTGCTAAGTTACGATGAAACAAAGCATAGCATGGTTTCCACACTGCCGCTGCTACACGCGGGCACACGACTTTGCCTACCTACATCACAGCCACCTGCACTCCCACGCGAAGGAGACATCAAACAGAGCCACACGCTCGCGCAAACAGCTTCGACAGTGCTGTGGAAACTATGCTGGCCTTGACATATTGCCATGTGGAGCACCTTTTGTAGACGTGTGGGCTTCTGAAACATTCGGCCTAGAACATTCAGCGCGTAGAACATTCGTAACTCGATTAGGCGAGAAGGTTCTCGAACTTACGAGAACGCCAAGCTGAAAGAAGAATTAAAAGAACATTCTGCACACTGGAATGAAACTTGGATCCTCCACGCGAGAGCCAAGCACAGTAACCATTCGGCCAGGCACGCGCTTGCTTGGCGACACGCGTGGCAATATCACCTCAGCAGTTGGTGTAGGGTATGAAGTTTATAAAAATTTGCTCAAAACATACATCTCTTATGAGACATTTTCAGGGCCTCACTTGTTTTTGCACAATTTGGGACCGAGTCACTCTTCGCTTCTTTTGGATTCTCGGTACTGGCATCTCTGTATGTGAGAGTAAATCAAGTGCTTCAACTGGGAATGTGTCAAGAAGGGTTTGCTCTGTGTGGCTCAGGTGGCACCATATCTGGCTTCATTTTAGTTCTAATGGAGAGGGAAATGGTTCTATGGCGCCGTACGCTCTCATTTGTTGAGCCTCGTAGTAGTAGAAAGCGACCATGTGACAAGCATCTGCAGGATGTCGCTTTCATGCTTGTGGTATCCTTGGGGTAGGATGTCAGTCTGCTTGCAGAGGCCTGGCATAGCAGTTGCAGGTGACAAGGTTGAGAAAAGGTGGACAGCAATTGTGAAAGCTAAATCAGGACATAGTGATTCTCCTTATTTAGATTTCAATCCTCTTCTTTAACAGAACCAGGCTTGTCGGCCTTCCTTCAGACCGACGAGGGCTTGTGCTCTGGGGCCTCCGACAGCGCGTCATCAGTGCAAGTTCACCTGGGTGAGCCCTGGAAAGATGGTCATCTCCTTGGGATTGAAGGCAAGCTCTTGTGCTCTCTTTATCCCTGTTGATTGTCCCAAGAAGGATAAAAGTCAATTTTTCTTACAGCTTTATGCAGGTTGTGGTACTAATATCAATGAAACAATTGTGCTTGTTTGGCAAGTAACCAAGAGATGCTCTTTGTCCTGAGCACTTCTGCTTGTCAATAGTGTTGGGAATATAGAGATATTTTGCAGGTTTCTTGGTGCAAAACTGGGGATGCCAAACTTAGTGGATGATAGTTTTTAGTTGGCGTTTGAGTCGGCTTGTGCACATATTGTTCTAGGTCAATGCTCTGCCTGCTGAAAAATCTGCTTATTTGTTGTTTAGTTATACATACCATTACTAATTTCTCAAATTTTTTGTTCTAGTTCGTTCATATCTATGTATGTCAGAGTTTCAGTCTATGCATTCATATTTTAAATTGGGTCAAACAATCTTGTTTTACTCAATAAAAATTATTGCATTCGGCTGTTGCGTCATTTGGAGCTTTCTTCGAAGGACCAGACTCTTTCGCTTGGTAGGTACTTGTTCACCCCCTGAGCACAATTCCTGTTTTTACTGTGGTGCTCATGCAAACTGCTGTCGCAAGTATTGTTTTTCACACTAGCCAGCAGAAAGAGGCTGTGATTTCTTCTAGATGCAACAGACAATTTTTTGTATGGGTTATGAAAATTGCCTGTGATAAATTCTTCAAATCATAATACAGCTCCAGGGAACACTTGCTTGATGTGGGTGCAATGTCAGTTCCTGTATCATGCGAGTTCTCAGCAGGTACCGGCATGTTTACAGGTCATCCTTATATAAAATTGTGCTGTCTCATTCTAGAAGAGCACCCCATTGATCCCTTTACCCTTGGTAGGCATTAGTTATGGGTTTTACAGCACTTCTTTTTTTTTATTTTTGTAGAGATTAGAAGATCCTCATTAAAAAAACACACTACATCTACAAATTACTACATTTTCCCTATTTCATGTTTTGCCCTTTTCACACCTAAGTTCTCATTTTACATAGCAAACAGACATATGCTCCTCTTTTTCCTAAAATATCGACAGAATTTCTGTCCTTTACCCTCCAACAGTGCCGTACGAGAAACTGGCCATGCCAGCGAGAGCCGACTTTCGCTCTGAAGACAGCGACAGAGTGTTGCCCTCTCGTCTGGACCTTGAGGGACACTGGAACAACAGCTGTGCGGTGAAAGAAGGCAAGCTCAAATACAGCTGCAGCCTCTGCTTTTTAGACATTTGCAGAAATCCTAATGATCTCAGTTGTCTGGCTCACATAACCCTTCTGTCATCATATGCGAGGTTGATGTTAAAAGTTGTGTTCAAGGGAAGGTGCAATTGTGGCAAAGCTCCATGTGTAGCCCTGAACAGCATAAACCAGTGCCTGGAAGATGTTTTAGAGCGCAACTCTTAGGTGCCCGTTTCTGGATTGAGGGGCGGCGCCGTTGGAGTACCACAGGTTGCATTATGGGACGTTTTCCCGCTAAAGTTAGCAAGGAAAATTTCTCTGCTAAATTTAGCGGGAAAACTGAACCCACTAAATTTAGCGGGAAAATTTTCCTGCTAAATATAGCGGAAAATTTCCCAGCTAAATTTAGTGGGAAAATATAGCAGGAAGTTTCCGTGCAAATTTAGTGGAAAAATTTCCCTACTAAATTTAGCGGAAAAATTTCTCTGATAAATTTAGCAGAAGAAATTCCCTCTAAATTAGTGGAAAAAAATTATTTGCTAAATTTACTGAAAAAAAAGAAATTAGCAGAAAAAATCCCCCTCTAAATTCAGCGGGAAAATTTCCCCGCTAAATTTAGCGGAACCAATTCCCTGTAAATTTAGTGGAAAAATTTTCCCGCTAAATTTAGCGGAAAGATTTTCCCTCTCAGTTTAGGGAATGAAATTACCTGCTAAATTTAGCAAGAAAATTGACCTCAAACTTTAGCAGAAAAAATTCCCCGCTAAATTTAGCAAAAACATTTCCCCACAAAACTTAGCGGAAACATGTCCCCGCTAAATTTAGCGGAAAAAATTCTCTGCTAAATTTCGTGGAAAATTGTCCGGCTCAATTTAGCGAAAAAAAATTCCCTGCTAGATTTGAGCGGAAAAATTCCCTGCTAAATTTAGAGGGACAAATGCCCGTTAAATTTAGCGGGAAAAAATCCCTGCTACATTTAGCAGAAAAATGCCCCGCGAAATATAGTGGAAATAATTTCTCACTGAATTTAGTGGAAAAAAAATTGTGCTAAATTTACTGGGGAAGTTTAGCGAAAATTTCAAGCTAAATTGGGGGGGTGAAGGTACAGAGAGGGAGGGAGGGGCATACCTTCCCTTTCTCCTCCTCCTCAGAAGCTGCACTCTAATTCAGCATTACAGAAAATCTTAAACATCTTTCATTTTTTTTATGTGCACTTTAATATTTTACTTTATTGAGTCATCTGTGGCTCAAAGAACAAAGCTGTTGGATGGTGGTAATTTTTAATTTACTATACTTTATTCCCCGTCTGGTAGCAGGGCGGTCGCTTCTAAAGAAATGTCGCAAGCATGGTTAACAGTGTGCCTGTCAATCATGCTTGTGCTCATCTAACAAGGCTAGCTTTGCTGCCATTGCAGTCGCTACTGTGACAGCTCGTGCAGGAGCCCTTTCAATTAGTGAAGAATGGCTTAAAGGACCCCTTTATTACTCTCTTAACAGTGAAGGAGAAAAGAAGAACTTTGAGATAATGAAAGGGCTCAACAGAGGGAAATGGGAAGCCAACCAGTGAGGGTGGTAATGGGATCAGCCTCCTTGTTTTATACGCTTTTTACCTTGCCTGTTTCAAGGATATTTTTCTTTTCCCATTTGTTTCGGCAGAGGCGGATGAGGCGAGTGCCACTTCGACCTGTGGGGACTTGGATGGTAAAGACGCTCGCAGGCTTTCCGTTTCCCTCGAGCCTGTGGACGTAGTCCACAGGGCCACGGTTGTCGTAAAGGAAGGCAAGTTTCTCTTGAAGCCCCACTCTAGAAACTATGCATGTCGTCTTCAGTAGTCTGCCTCAGCTTAAAGGAGAACAAAGTGCAGTCCCTTCAGGCACGAAGTTGCGCTCAACGTTGTTGTAACACAAAACAATGATTGCATTTAGCAAAACAATATACGGTATTTGCATGAATATAACGTAACCGCAAATATAACACAAAAACAAGTTTTAATACCCCCCCCCCCCCCAAAAAAAAATTATTACTATTATAATGCAAGCTGAGGCTGTGTAAATTTACTGCACTTGGGTGCATAGCAGAAGTGAAAAGGCAATGGAAATCAAAGAAATATTGGTTTATGCTTTCACTGCACTCATCCTCACTGCTCAGGTCCTTCCATTAGCAACCCGCTCGGCGACTTCACAGATATGCAGCAGCACGGTGCCGCTTGTCTCGTAGTTTATTTTCTTCCACGTGAACTCCTCGGCAGCCCACAAGCAAAGCAAGCCACTAAGCAGAAGCACCAACACACAAATACCGCAACACTCTGGGGCAGAAACTAAAAATTGCGCAGGCAGGAAAAAGACTGCTGGACTCGATGCACGATAATGTGCATTCTTGTTCTGGCCCGACCACAGACCGTGTTTATGCATGATTGCATAAACACGGTCTGTGGTCTTGGCTTGGCTTGTGTTGACTTGACTTGGCTTGAATTGGCCAGTGCCCGCATGGCGCGCTACATTTCTGCGGCATGCTTTTCGCCATGCGTTGTACGAACACATAAGCGGTAAAATGCTTTTTATGTTCTCTGTTCCTCCCTTCACGTGGCCCAATAGCTAATAAATTCCCTCCCAGACCCCCACTTCTTTTCCCACCCGGTCCCCTGCATTGAGCCGGGGAGATGGCTTTCTCCAGATTCGCGCACCTCGTGGCTGAACTCAATTCTGAATATAACGCGGTGTGTGTTTTGTAGCACGCAATTTCGATACAAATCTTGCGTTATATTCGTGCAACTATGGTACACGACTGTGGACAAGGCAGAACGACCGAGCACACAGTTCCTTCTAATAGATGCATAGATTCAGCCTGAACTAACCTACCATAAAGTTCGGAAAGAACGCAAAGAAGAAGCTAATTTCAGATGTTGCTGTTACTAAGGCCTGCTCTCCACAAATTACCAGCAAGGACTTAAGTGTGTGGAGCTCTCCTTCCGTGGCCCCTCCAAACCTGCCAAACAAGTCATGCTTGCTTTCTCTTCATACTCTTGTACCATATTTTCCGGTGTATAGACCTTTTCATCTCAGTAGTTACCCGACCGGCGGATAGAGGGCGTTGGCGCACTCGCCACCATTGGGTGGCTTCAATTTGATTGGTTTTGGTTTCAGCGCGCTCGTGGCTGTGTTTGTGTTATGTCAGTTTCTCATAATTTTGTGATACAAATGTGCCAGTTATAGCACACAATTAATAAAACTGCGGTACTGAGCCAATTTAAGAACCACGAAGTGGTTTCGGGTCATATTCACGGACTTTTCTAGGGACACTTTACAATGCGTCGTTAATTTCGATCAAGTTCGGCGGCGAAACGACTATGATGCACAAGGAAGATTATAATTGTTTATGGCCGTACCCACTGACCCTAGTTTTCATAAAAATGAACTAATAAAGAGACTATCGAGTAGATGTATAGTAAAAATGCAGGTCCAAAATCTGATTGAAAACCTCCTGAATCGCGAAAAACACACGAAGTCGCCAGTTCACTGCTCACTGTGTGATTTTCGCGAGCACCAACTTTTTGTGAACTCTAGAGACTTGAAATGTATCCTATAATAACGCAGATAATCTTAAAAAAAAAAAAAAAAAGAAGTGATATTGTCCTGTGCTGTTTCCTCTAAAGAAATTAAGTACTCAAGAAATATTTCGATAGTTCGTCCTAGGTCGGGTGGGAAATTCCCTTAGCTAATGACCCTGCTAAAGTACTTCTTAACATCATTTCACAATGTTCGTGTTAGAAAATGAGCTATTTGTTTTACTGACATTTGATTGCGACATGCTTGGCACATGAGATAAGTGACAAACCCATCAATTGAAGTCTGAAATGTTGTCTTTGTATAAACTTTGCCGAATAAAATTCAAGGGTCTGAAAGAAGTGATCTCCCGTACGTTTGGCTGAAGTGGAATGCAAGGCACGACTTCATGAGCCTGTATAGACAGATCTCCATTGAAAATGATGCGATTTAAAATCAAGAACGCTGAAATCGGGCTATTTCTATATAGATAGCTTCTTTTCGGCATAACATAATGTGAGCCCTAGGCACTCCCAAACTGCCTGTGACATTTTTTTACAGGGGTTTTTGTGTTAAAATAATTAAAATAAATAAATTATAGTTTGTGTTTAAAAATAAATGTCAACACCCTTTAATGACTGCAGATAGGGGACCGAACATACTGTACAGTTTGTCTAAATTCTTGAATAAATCAAGCAAATTTAGGTGTAATGACGTGAACAAGCAAATCACCTGATGTGGACGTTACCATTGTCCCGAGCATCAGATGAAATGTGAAGTAAACATTTGTTACTTATATATCTTATATATCCTATATAATCAAAAGCAACTGGTTTAAATTTGTTTCGAAGGCAAGGCAGGAAACTTTCAGGAAACACACGTAGCTTCATATGCTGAGTGTTTTGGTCACATCCCTTAAGATCCTAAATGCGTGGCTATACATATACATTGCACTATACTTATTTCGAAGATTCCGCCACTATCACTGAGCAAACTTCAGTTGTCATAAATAGTTCGGCTCAATATGCACCAGGGCTGACGCCTGGTTCCTGTACCTCCTCCCTTCTCACACGTATCCGGTACGCGTGCGGTTAAAATAGTACAAATATGTAAAATTAATTGTAGATGTTGTCGTGCACATTATTAGGGCATGCAGTTAAGTTGTAAATGTAAGCATCAGGCAGATATTTACAATAAGGCGAGAAACGCGGTGAAAAGCGACGAAAAACGCGAATGCAACGCCTTCGGCAAGGCGCGGAGGGTAGAGTGGAGCAACGAGTTGAAGCCACCTTATGGCAGCCGCGTCACGTGATTCCAAGATGGCAGCGCCCATGAGACAGAGGCTGAAAAGGTCTATAGTTTGCGGGCTGTACATGTTTAAAAGTTGAAATTTTACCGTTTGCGGACTATCTACAGGAATTGTTGTTTTTTTTCTAGATTGTTCACTGTACCAAGACGTGAAGGCTTTTATGAATAACAGAATATATTAATGTTGACTTACGTATGACCCAAATTTGGTTTTCCGGACAATGCGCGGGTACGAACTATAGTCCGGAAAATACTCTACTAACAAAAATGTTTCCAGTGAGTATCTTCCTCCTCAAAATGCCTGTCATCTATACAACTGTCTCTCCTGTAAGGGGTATGTGATTTCTTGCCACTGCTCCAGTTCGAGAAAACAAAATTACCTGGTGCGTCTTCCCAACAGAGCCAGCTGATGTGGAATGGCAGAGCTCAGACTCCGAGGAAAGCAGCAGCTCGCTCTCTTCCCAGGAGCCTGTAAGGGGTATGTGATTTCTTGCCACTGCTTCAGTTCGAGAAAACAAAATTACCTGGTGCGTCTTCCCAACAGAGCCAGCTGATGTGGAATGCCAGAGCTCAGACTCCGAGGAAAGCAGCAGCTCGCTCTCTTCCCAGGAGGGATGGGACCAGGGACAGCAGGCGAGACAAGATGGGCACAGGGGCCATGACTGCTCCTTCTGCCCCTTTTCTGGTAGCTCCAAGAGGGAACTCGCCATGCACGAAAAAACGCACACAGACAGGGACAAAGGACGCTACAAATGCCCCACTTGCTCTCAAGTATTTCAGCGGAGGGACGGCTTGCTTGCTCACAAAAAGTCTCATGCACATGAAAAGCCCTACAAATGCAACACTTGTGGCAAAAGATTTTCGTCGGAAAGCACCTTTAGTCGTCACGAAAATGTACACGTCGACCTTAAACCCTTTAAGTGTGCCACATGTCCACGGTCGTTTAAGCAGAAACATTCCTTGATGAAGCACCTCAGCCGCAACGACTGCGATAAGGCAGATGTTTTGGAGAGCACTGACGGAGATGAAAGGCTTTTTAGGTGCCCCATATGCCTTAAGGCTTATAGAAAATTCCGCCATTTGTCAGATCATAAGTTAACTCACTCAAATAAAAGGCCCTTTAAATGCTCTACCTGCTCTAAAACATTTCATTTTAGATCTGTCTTGTCAGAACATGAAAGGATTCACAGTGGTGAAAAGCCCTTTAAATGTACCCTCTGCGATAAAGCCTGTCGAAGAAAGTCTGACCTGAACACTCATAGAAGAGTTCACACCGGTGAAAAACCCTTTAAATGCCCCGGCTGTCCTAAAGCCTTTAGAACGCAGTGGCAATTGACTATGCATAAAAAGAGAATTCACATACAAGCCCAACCCTCCCTAAGAAATTTCAGAATTTTCAGGCCTCTCCAGAAGTTTGAGGAAAGGGGTCACGTAAATGATTGTGGAAGCGCTCGCGTGGTTTTAAGACCCTTTAAAATATCCCCCTTTCCCTAACACATTTCTATCAAAAAGTGCTGTGAACTGCTCATGAAGGCTTTGTATGAATGAAGGGTTCTTTATTTCCTACCTGTTCAAAAGCTTATAAGTTAGTCTAACTTCTGGATCCACGAAAGAATTCAAAACAGCGTAATAACCTATAAGTAAAGCCCTGCATATCCCCAGTTAACTGGTGGATTCAGATAAAAATGAATTGGATTTGGCGGATTGCGGATCGGATGCGGATATCCACGGGTCCGGATCCTTTTTTGTCGAGGCAACGCATAAACGTGTGCGACCGCGCAGTGTAGAGTGAATAAGTGAGTACAACTATAGAGGTGCATCATTGAATGTGTTGTGGGAGCAAACTACTCTCTTAGATAAAAGGTGCCAATGGGGAAGAAAATTGTTTTTTTACATCAATAAAGATTTGATTCTTACCAAAGATCGCTTTAGAACGTTCTATCTTGCCAAAAATGCTGTACCTGGAAAAAAGTAAAGACTGCAGAGGCATCGGTCGTCCCGGGAAGCATGTTGTTGTTTGGCAGGGAAAGAGCAAAAACGTTCTTTGGGCAAAGAAAACCCCAAAACTTACCGCCACAAGAAAGTAAAAGAAGTTTGCAAGTAGCGTCTTCGCCTACAAGTATATATTCAGGATACTGAATTCGATCTTCTGGGGTGGAATTTCCGTCGGCATGAGTTCCCATACCTCATTCTTTTAGCGCAGTTCTTGTATCAAGTGATCCAATGTAGAGAGACTTCTCATTAATGGGTATTAATTTAATAGAGGCGAACCAGTCTGAATCCTTCTGTGTTAACAATATTCTGTTCCTTCTACACAGCAATCCACCTCGAAGAGTGAAACATTGCGTATGTTTGAGTTCTTTTTTTTCTCGACAGTTGGCACTGAGTTGTTTTTAAGTATATGGTTCCCGGCATGCAGTTGAGGGTTTGTGTTTAAAACTGAAACCAGTAGTAGATTTTGCCAATATTGAATATTGCTATATTTTCCCAGTGGTGCACTCGTGCCTTATCACATATACATGAGTATTTTGCTGCATTGAGTAGGTGCCTTTCCTCCCACTCTTTTGTTTGGCCAAAATAAAATGACACAATGTTCTTAGTCTATCCCTTCTAAATTTTAATGTTTATAAAATATGCATCTGCTTGAACTAAGTTTTATAAAGCAAAAAGGAAAATAAATGTAAATTTCCTTCTTTTTGAGCGCATCTTTTAAACAGAGTGTAAGTGTTGCGGACTCCCAAGACGATCTCATAATTGGGATCATCTTTCGAGCGATGCGAAGTGTTTCTGGGAGGATGATCGCTTATTTTATAAGTACAATAAAACAAATACGATAAACTAACATTTATCGTGTTCTGACACTGAGAGTTCTTTGTAGAAAGGTATCCAGACGGTTTCTAGGATACCATCCAAATGCTTTTTCTATTAATTTTTATTCATGCTAGCTTTTAATTTTTTAAATACCGTAAATGCACATCTCGTTGAAAATTTCCAAAAATAGTTTTAACTTTTGAGTCAGGTAATTAGGGTTGGATGCGGTCCCGAATTTTGCGGATGCAATTCGGATGTGGATACAAAGTGTGCGGACGCGGATACAATTATTTAAGAACATGCGGACGCAGTTACGAAATCTCCGGATGCGGGTCCGATACGGATGATCAAACTGTTACCCGCGCAGTGCTCTACCTACAAGTGTGAAACAAGCGACACTCTTCACAGAATGATGGAGCTTCAACAAGCACAACCACTACTGACATGTGCCTGAAGCCATTTAGATACCTTATGCCCAAAAGTTTGAAATTGAGCATGAATATTCACAAAAGACTAGAAATCTGAAAGCTGTGGCAATACATTCTTACAAATATGGGATCTGTGTTCCCACCGGACCATTGACATGGGCCAGAAACCATTTTTAATTTTGTCACTTCCCCCAGTGTGTTTTAGTAGCTTGAATAGTCACAAGACAGTTTACAAAAGTGAAGATGGAAACGTGAAATGAACAGGCAGCAGGTAATTTGCAGTGGTGAAAGGTCCTTTAAATGTGCAGCCTTCCCAAACAGCTTTTCTTTGGTAGCTGGAATATTAATGAGAGTTCACAAATTTTGAAGTCTGTTTTTGTCGAGCCATTAGAGGCACTGGCATGAATGAAAGAATATAATTTGAAGTTGATGGCTTGAAAGGAGCAAGATTAAAAGGACATGTACAAGTCTCGATGGGATCAAAACAATAATTCCCTGTTCCTGTGGATTTTATACTTTTTTGTTCTCCGACAGCTTGTATGCTCAACCATCGAATAAATTCTTGTTCATGCCACCCCTGGCAGGTCCCTGGTGATCTTGCATCTCTTCTTTGGAATATGATTAGAGAATATAAATATCTTGATGATTCACATTGGGCCATTTTTGAAGCTCTGTATTGTATGTCCCATTGTCCTGCAATATACTGGATTATCTCGGAAGCTTTCTTCTATAAGATGTTTGTGGAGTCTACGTAGAGGCTAGCAGGGGACCATACAAAGAGCAACGGGAAAGTGTGTGACAGCTAGAGTGTGTGCCACTCTGCTCTTTAGGTCCGACAGATTTTTGAGCTACTCAAACTAAACATATTTTTGAAATACCCAGACTTTACTCTTTTTGGTATGCTATTTATTATGCCTAAATTCCAAGTGGCTATTGAGAAAATGGCAAACGAAGGTTAATGACAAAACCAAGATTAAAATCTTCCCATGCTCTCTAGTGGGGAAAACGTAGGCAGTTGGAAAAAAAAAATACGAAATAATATTTTGTGCATTATTTCTTTTTTTATTGTTGCTGTTGCTGGCGTGAGCTTCTCCCGCATTCAATGTTACATTGGAAGTTCTAATTTCAGTGTCGATCAAATTTAAAACTAACAACTTTGCGAAAACAAAATGCACTTTCTCATAATTTGGGTTACTAGTTCAGATATGTCTATTAAAGTGTTGAACCAAATTTGAGGCAAATGATTGACTCAAGATAGAACACATTTGTGCCATTTCTCTCCCTGTGCCCTTTTTATGGCGTGTTGTTTGATAACATGCTTTCCCACATCTTAAGGTTTTTCCTTAAATAAACAGTTTTAGTAGATCGCCCCGACGCCCCTGATAACGATGCGATGCATGAACAGAGTCGGCGGCGAAAGGAAGGCAACTTGAGAAAATACTTGAAAACACCCAAACTGTGTGTCAAGAAGGCCAGCAAAAGCCCAAAATACTTCAATATTCTAACCAAAAATCTTTGAAAGCCACAGACATATAGCCGTAAATAAGCTCGCTGATGAAAAGCTCTGTGAGGATAAATAAGCAGAGGTCCCTCGTTTTCTTATTGTATCATTCACATCTTGCCAAGTATTTGTTGAGCTTACAGTTTGTCGTAAAGTCTGGATGACGAGTGAGCGAAGCATGTGGGAATAGTGAGGTAAACCAGGGCACCAACTGCAGTTCTTGGCTACCTACTTACAACTCCCTGTAATGCGCAGCTCTTGAGGAGGACAAGGGGAGGGCACGTCCCTCCTTTCCTCCTCCTGCTGCCCCTCTCTTGAGGTATTTCGATTTTGCGATATACCATGCTAAAATATCTGAGAAAGGTATATTGCCGTGCGCGCAGCTGGCCGAGTAGGCAGTGCGCGCGTGGCCTAACGGTTATTGTACCTGGCTCCCACGCGAAAAGCTAGGGTTCGATTCCTGGGAGCGGCGCATCTTTTCGTTTCTTCCTGCAGACTAGTATTCTGGTAAATTCGAGAATCCTGTTGCCTGTTTGAGGTCCGAATGTTCTGCGCGTCAAACTTTCTACGCCGATTATTCCAGAAGCCCACGCATGTACATAAGGGGCTCCGCGTGGCGAGCCACAGTCGGTTTTCGCCTCAGCGTTCGATTCTGCTGTTACGCCGACTTCGACGCCCGCAACGTTAAACGTTCGCCACATTAAACGTTTATTTCTTTCTGTTTATTTATTGTTCTTTTGGTCACAACCCCGTGACAATATATAGGGAGGTCCAAGTCACCAGGCTCGATCTAAAATGGACCGTAAATATCGACGCCTGCACGTAACAATCTAAACTTTTCTGTCAAAGGTGTATTTCGCAGGTCAGTTTTTTCTTGTAAAATTACAAAGCATAGCTCCCTTTCTGTAAAAAATAAGGCCAAGAAACTTGCTGGGGTCTATGGCGGGCAGCAACACAGACGTTGGGTCCAGTAGCGGGGTGTGTTTGGCATTCATACTGATAGATGGCACTACCTCATTATCGCGACCCCCGTGGTTTATTAAAATTAATATAATCTTGCTGAAATGTACCACTATAAGAAATAAATGCGAGCAATGAAAGCAAAAAGTAAAAAAACACGCCTGCATAATGGCTGCGCTTTTACTGCCAACGGTTTTCGTCTGCGTGTCGTCTGCTATCTTTCGCTGGTCGGCTGCACCTTCAGACGTAGAGTTCTTGTATATAGCTCCCTACGGTAGCAGAGTTGCGCACTCAGCCTCGGCGAGTGGCCGTAGCGCCGGCTTTCCTGCACGCCCTGGATGCTTCGCTCCTCATGTGACTAAATTTGGCAAATAGCGGCGCCGTGCGTGCCACCGTGCATGGAAAACAGGAAAGAAGGAGAAGGAGGGCGAAAGCAAGGGAACATGCGCCGGGGCTGAGCAGCGTCGGCGGAGCGACCGTAAAGATGGCTTTCTTGCACGGCGCCGGATGCTTTGCTCCTCACGTGATGGGTCTCAGCGAATAGCGGCGTGGCGGCGCAGGGAAAACAAATGCGCAACTCTGCTCCCCCTTTGGGGGAGCACATCAAGGAACTCTATTTAGATGCTGCTCCCAACGCCATCTATCGATACAAATGCCAAACACACCCCGGTTCTGGACTTGGTCGTCTGGGTCGCCGCCCGCCGTAGACCCTGGCAAGTTTCTTGGCCCTATTTTTTACTAAAAGAGAACTACGCTTTGTAATTTTATAAGAAAAAACCGACCTGTGAAGTATGCCTTCGACGAAAAGTTTAGATGGCTACGTGCAGGTGTCGATTTTTACGGTCCATTTTAGATCTAGCCTGGTGACTTGAACCACCCTATATATATATATATATATATATATATATATATATATATATATATATATATATATATATACACACACACACACACACACACACACCACACACACACACACACACACACACACACACACACACACACACACACACACACACACACACACACACACACACACACACACACACACACACACACACACACAAATATTCTCGCTCGCTGCTTGTCGGGAGAAAGGAAATGTAGTTCTCAGATCTCGAAGCTCCACTCTGTCTAAATTCTGCCGTTGCCAGGAAACAGGGCAGCAGGATCAAAGCAGGAAAATGGGACAGCGTTAGAGTCAACACTTTGGCAAAGCACGTCATACTCTCGATGTCATCTTACTTGCTGTCGCCTCTGTCGAAGCCTGTTCGGCGTTTTTGATTTCCTCAACATTAGTCTTGAGCGTGCTCCCCCGAGATGGCACAGCAGAACAGCGAGTGCACGTCCCTCGGGGCCAATGGGATGTTTCCTGCATGACTGGTATGAAGTTCCCGCTTGTGTTGCACGAAATATTGGGCGAGTGCTGTAGCCAAGAGATACAGAGCTACCACGAGCAAGCTGTTGTGGACCTTGGCGGCACACAATTTACCAACTTTGTCTGACGTGCCTCAGAGATTGATGGGTACAGCACAGACATGTACCCACGTGCCACCTGGATAACCAGTACACCACGTTTTCATACGTGCCTCTCTGTGATTTATGAATGATGATATCCCTTGCCTACACGTGGGTAGCTGGTGTCTCCCCTCCTCATCTCCCTCCCCTCCCCCTCCCAAAAAGGAGGCGGAGGAGGTTTCAAGGGTTACATGTTGAAATGGCCAATGCTCCGCTTTCCGTTGGATTATGGGACATTTACCATAACGCATCGCGCGGGACGCTCGTGACGTCATGGTAACATCATTATGGCAAACGTCCCATAATGCAACGCGGGGGTTACGAGTGAGGCCCAGACGTTGCATCATGGGACGTTTCCCATAATGCAATGCACAGGACCAGGCATGTAGCCAGGATATTGATTCGGCGGGCGTGCCCGCCCATGACAAAATGCTGTATGAGGGTGACGGGGAGAGGAAGCCGCAGCAAAATGGAAGATCTGGGGGGGGGGGGGGGGGCGGGATTTATGGGCTCCCCCTTGGCTACATACGTGCGCAGGACCCTTGTGACGTCGCATGTGACGTCATTGTGGGAAACGTCCCATAATGCCACGCGCGGATCACGAGTGAGACCCGCGCGTTGTATTATGGGACGTTTCCCATAATGCACTGCGCGATTACGGCGACGCCGCTGAAGCCGGAAACGGGCACCTAAGAGCTGTGCTCTGTAACGAGCGCGACGCCGTTACCCCGTAATGTTTGATTATTGAATTACACAGTCATCGTATGTGCACACTGCTCAATGAAGTTGGCTGTGCACGCGTGATGTCCGGATTGCAGCCAACACTACGATTGGATGGAGCCAACCGAGCAGTGCCGAAGGTGCATCGTCATGGTCCTCTTCATGTTTGTGCGTTTGCTATCGATGGCCGAACCAATCGCGTACAAAGGAAGAGCCGGGTCGCGGCACATTGGCTGTGCATACTGGTCGGTAGGACCCAAACATCAAAAGTCATTCAGGTTATTCTCTAGCAAAAAGACAAAATGCACCCGCATTTTTTTATAGGAATGCGCAGGAGCACCACAAAAGTAGACTGGTTGCCGTCTGCTTCAATTTGAACTTTGGAAGTCGCATGGACACTAGCGCCTGCAGTTGAACCTCTATCGTACATTACGATAACCTTATGCTTGCCCCCAAGGGTGTCCCCTCCGTTTGATAGCCTCTTTTGGTCATTGTTAGGGGTGTCCCTTCAAACCGGAAATACCGTCCGGCTTCACCTCTGGTGGCGTCGTGTCGCCTGCAGAAGTTTCCTACCTCCGTGCTTGCTACACCATGTAAACACACTCGGGCGATTAAGACAAACTGCAAAAGTCAGTTTCTTAACATATCGTGCTGCAATTTACTACAGGGGTGCAAGCAGGTGGTGGAAGTTAATGGGGGAAAAAATTAAGGAATCGATAACTTACCTCGTTCAAAAGAAAAGCAAGAAAAACCTGTTCTGGGCAACCTACGCCGCCAGTTCGCACATGGTGCGCGCATAGAGAGAAGTACTGCCGACGGATGGCGTCCGCTGCATTGAAGGAGCACTGGCCGATTTGGGCTCTTTTGCGAGATTGTTTGCTATCAACCTGAATCAGGCGATGCTCCCTCGATGTGGTGTACGCCATCTGTTGGCAGTACTTTTCTCTATGCGTGCATCATCTGCGAACTGGCAGCATAGGTTGCCCAGAACAGGTTTTTTTTGGTTTTCTTTTGAACGAGCAAGTTCATTCCTTGATCTTTTTCACTATAAACTTCCACCACCTGCCTGTACCTCTAGTAAATTGCAGCGCAATATGTTCAGAAGCAGATTTTTGCAGGCTGTCTAAAGTGTCTTAGAAGCGTTAGTTTACATGCTGTATAAAAGTTTTACTAAAAAAAAAGGTACATTCAACAGAAAACGTTAACATAATTTGCTAGCTACCGACAGAAACACATTTCTCGGGGTTCGGCCAATGAGCTCATTGGTTTGGCCAGTTCCACTTTTGTCATCGCTCAACAGGTTCGGCAGCGGCATGCACTTTCGGCGCTTTTGCCGTGCAGTCTCCGTTTACCACATGCCGAGTGCCTTCTGCTGGGCTGTAGATGCGCGTACGACAAACTGTTGTCAAAGACAAGAAGTATTAGTCAGCAACAATCCAACGTTTGCCAGATTCCGGAAGGTCATATCATACTATCATACACATCCTGTGAAAAAATAACTTCTTTCTAATTATTTGTATAACTGACGAGACCCATGCAATATGATAGACTGCAAATTACATACATGCCATCTTGGTTCATGCAATCTGGATAAATGATGGTATGATGGTATGTGCCATTCTGATACGAGATTTAATAACCCCAAAATGTTCAATGTTGGACGATTTTAACTCTATAGCGTTTAGGAGGTCGTGCCCCAGAAAACCTGGCGTCAACGGGACCAAGTATTCCGATATCGCCATGCACGCGGAAACGTGCAACGTCACACGTGGCTGTGATGTCGTGACCTAGACCCACTAGATTTGGCGGGAAAATTTCCCCGCCAAATTTAGCAGAACATTTTCCCGCCAAATATAGTGGAAAGTTTTCCCGACAAATTTAGCGAAAAGTTTTTCCGCTAAATTTAGTGCATCGATAGGGTCATGGCAATTCGGTCACGTGCAACGTAACGTGACACTATGCCACACTTGAGGTCATGCGACGTCACGTAACACGCAACGCTACCGACTAGACCACGCACACGCGCTTGGGGCCCAATAACGCCATTGCGTTCCACTCTTAAAGGCGAAGCTTAAGCCAGGTATGAGTATGACCTACTCAGTGACTCTGACTTCTAGGTTTGACCAGAGTATTGCCACAGCCTAGACGAGTGGTAGCTTCCGAACTCCTAGTGATCCTGGCGGCTGAAGGTTTCGTGAAGTATCAAGCAGCGGTGCAACCCGCTGTAGAGCAGGCGTTGGCTGCATCCACCTCCGTTCTTGTGACACCATCGGCGTCGGAGCAGGCAACAGCAAGTCACTTCCTTGACGACATCGGGTAAAAATCGAGGTACCAAATTCGAGGACGTGGTAAGCACACCAATCCGAGATGCGTTCCAGGCAGCATACTAGTGTTCTAGACTGTAACCGCATCCATACGGATGAACCATGTGCCAGTCACACTTGCACGATCTCTGTCTGGACGTAGTGATTGCAACTGAAAAGGAATGAGCATGAAAAAATATTTTCTAGGCATACTGACTTCATATTAAGAAAAAGATGCAACTGTTAGAAAGGTACCTTATTGTTTGGGAATTAAAACGGTGCAAAGAATGAGGCCGGATGAAGGAAGATGCAGACAGCGCTTACTCAACAACTAAATTCGATTGATTGTAATGGCGCAATGCATGCTTGAGCGGCCGAGAACAAAAAAAAAAAAAAAGAATCTGCCTAAAAAACGCGTAACTTAAAAAAAGAAAGTGCCAGTAAAGAGCTATATTCAGCATGCACACAAGTCTTCACTTGACAGCAATCCAAGGACTGGTGACACGCAGCACCTAATTCTGCTATCTCTAAGGCCTCAAGAATTTCCCAGTGACGTCTAATTCTCGTGTATGTACCAACTCGCCAGAGTTCATACCTTATTGTGTCCTGCAATCCTCCAGCTGAAACTATCCTTTAATTCTACCTTTTTTATTGCAGCAACGTTTTTTCAGCTGTTTTAGCAATGTACCGTAATATCCCGAGTCATCGCCCACCCCCCTACCACCTGAAATTCATTAAAAAAGTGGGGTGGGCCATGTCTCGGTGGGTGAGCACAAACACTTGAAAAAAAGCGGAAAAAACCGCCTATTTTTCTCTGCGTATCTAGCGCTGATGCACAAGAGATACATCAAACTCAAAACTCGATTTAGTTTCATTGTTTTATAGAAAAAAATGCTCGCGAAAGAATATTTTACTATAGCGAAGTCCGTTGCTTGCATACGCGCTAGAAACACCGCCGATCTGCATATAGCGCAAACGTTTGTTCCGTGAGAGAATGTCACCACTAGGTTCTCCTAGTTAGTAAAAAAAGAAAAGTCTACAAGAAAATAGAAAAACCGACCAGGCGCAACGAGCGAGCGAGCGGACCAAAGAAGCGACCAAGAGCAATGCTGGGAAAGCGGGAAAGCCGGCGGTCGCGTTGGCAAATACTTAGGCGTTGGGCCAAGTCGGGCGCCTTGTCAATTGCAAGCTCTTGCGCAACTTTCTTGTTTGGTGCGTACATACGTGCGTCCGTGCACGGCGGGCTATCAATGCACGGTTGGGACGCTCTGCAAACGTCTGTGTAGGGCGTTCCAGCAAAGCTTTATTTACGCGTTGGCTTTGCCTAAAATATTGCACAACCGCGGTCGCGACGGGAGGGAGGAAGGAGCGGGTTCGCGGTGACCTTACTTCAGCGGAGACAGAGTTTGACCTAACACTTTGCGGTTACATTAACAAACTCTTATTTTGTTATCTCCATCGTTTTCTTTTCGGATACACGACCACTTTGGGGTCGCTCAAGGAGGTAAACAAAAATAAGTGTCTTTCCCTCCTTTGTTTTACTTTTTCACGGACGTCCTCGAACTGTAAGGTCCGCGGCCGCGTCATTCGGGTGGGATGAGTGTTCGCGGATCGCAGAGTCCGCGCTGGGGTATATGAGGGGGTGGGCGATGACTCGGTGTTTTTTCGGAAATCGATATTGGCCCAAAAAATGGGGTGGGCTATGGCTCGGGGATGGGCGATGACTCGGGATATTACGGTAGTGTATCCCAAAGCTAAAACAAAACTTCCAGACTATAACGAATTGTGTTCAATTTATTAACACCGATTATTTTAAAAACTTTCTTTGTTAAATACTGGAAGTGCCTGCCAACAAACGTAAGTAGTGTGAATATGTCTGATTTTTTTTTTTGTATGTGATGCTATGCCAGTCTGCATGATTATAAGTGTTTGAGTGTGCTATAATACTCTACGGTTCCCCCTCCAGCTTTGGCCTCGCGGCTGGCAGCATTTTTAAATAAATAAATACATTCTTGTACAAATGGGGATCAATGCTGAACACTTTTTGCCGATTGCAGATGCCTAATCTTTGCAGCAGATATCTATACAAGCTTTAGTAGTGGTAAAAATTTGCAAAAGGCTGTAGAACAAGTTGACTAATTTATTCAGTGAATCACGACACATATACATTTTATTCACAGAAGTAAAACCATTGGTATCCAGTCTGGTACATCTTGGATTTTTTTTTTTTTAAAGATTACCTAGAATACAAGGGTAACCTGACACATGCAAGCACTACACATATGACTACTGATACATGTCTATAAAAAGTTGTATGAAGACATTCATAGCCTAACCTCTAAAGTGGATACCTAAGAAGCTCAAATCTTCAAAACCATATTTATTAAAGAGCTGTAAACATGGGTATTTCTCGAAAAGTTTCGCTAACAATTTACAATCGATGAATGATGCCAGAGCAGGTGCCATCTTGACAGTAACGCACTTATCGACGTTGAACTAACATTCAAAGATGAAAGTTCTCACCTCGATGTAAGAATGCAAACAGTGTTGCTTGTTTTGAATGATCGAAACTACACAGATTTCCAAAGGACAAAATAGCAATAACAGGCGAAAGGGTAACTCTGGTGTATACGAAAGGGTAACTCGGGTGTACGTGTCTACAGAAAAAGAACAAAACAAAAACCATATTTTGCAGACAAGTAACTAGTATGGTGTCAGTAATTGTAAAACTAAATTCTTAAGCTTTAAGTGCCGATTCACTGTTTTTTTAGTTGGATAATATACAGAAAGAAGTGCAACTTGATCTCTACAAAATCACCGCATGAAGAACTTTATCCATATCCAGCTCCTTTGAATTTTGCATATACAATACAAAGGACCTTTTGAGGCAGCCTTTACAATGTCCTTTCTTCCATTAATGGCCATCCAAGGCCATAGGAATATATCTGCTTGCTAGTGGGCCCAAGTTGTGCAACTCATCTGCTGAACCAACAAGCACTCCTCTGTTCACTCCTTGTTTCAAGAGTCACGTTCATTAGACAGACTCCCAAGTAAACACTTCGACCACAAAAAAAGATTAGACTAGTGGCTCCGATTGTCCGAAGTGCCTGGTGCACTCCAGACAATGTGGGATTTTGTCTTGACACAGTTTAGTAGCTTTCATTTCTGTGAATGACAGATTTCATATGTGCAGCATTTCACCTTTTGTGAAATGTTTTATGGTCATGCAAAACTTCCATCAAAATTTTTTTAGGGCCTGTGGGCAATTCAATGAGTTTTAAATCTCTAATCCCTTTGAAAAGGAGTGAAATATCAATTGCATTAAAAAAGATTAGGGTAAGCAGGGCATTTAAAAGGACATTCATTTGTGTGATTTTATGACCAGTCAATCAAAACTTTGAAGCAGTTGAGAGGAGGTGTTGCAGAAGTAGCCATCATTATTTTGATCGCTTGCATGAGCAGCCACGGGACACTTTTATCGAAAAACCCTAGGGTAGGTGGTACATTTAGAGGACCTTCCAATTTTTGGCTTTGCTGCCTTTCAGGTGTTTTAGATGAGGCAGTGAATTTAAAGGGTGTTCCACCGATGTGAATCTCTTCGTGAACAGAGTGCTGAACCTTCCATTGGAACACCACTGGGCAGGCAGAGAATTTAGAAAGACGTTTGCCACTGCGGGTTTCGTGTTCCTTCAAAAGAGACTGAATGAATTGCTCTAGACCAGGTGATGCATTTGAAACCCCCTCCTTCAATGTGGGTTCTTTCATGCCGAGCAAAAACAAGCCCTGCTTTAAAATGCACTCTGGCAGGTGTGGCCTTTTGTCTAAGTCAGCGCTTTCGTGAGAAGTCAACCTTGATACAAAACACTCCAGGACAGGGCCCTTTGGCCCCGTCAATGGCTGCGACAGCATTCAAACCAGATACACTTTCGTCAAAAAGTGGTTGAAGTCGGACACAAAGGGTTCAGTTAAAGTGGGGCATTTGGGTGACCTTTCATTTCTGGACTCTGCTTCCTTTCAAATGATCTAGACGGGGCAGGGAACTTAAAGGGCGTTTCACCTATGTGAACCGCTTCATGAACAGACCTTTCACTCTTCCATCGAAACACTTTAGGGCAGCTCAAGCATTTAAACATAGGTCTGCGATTGTGGGTTTTTTCGTGATTCCTCAAGTACCACTTCGATTTAAATGCTTTAGAGCATGTGGGGCACTTAAAAGCCCTCTCCTCACTGTGAGTTGTTTCATGCTGAGTCAAGTGAGTCCTCAATCGATATGCTTTAGAGCAGACGGGGCACGTAAAAGGCTTTTTGTTTGTGTGGGTGTTTTTGTGAGAGGTTAACTGAACCCTGGTGTCAAATGCTTTAGGACAAACTGAGCATTTAAAGGGCCTTTCAACATTGTGAGTGATTGCATGGGCATTCAAACCGGATCTAGAGCTAAATGCTTGCTTGCAGATGTTGCAGCTATAGGGCTGATCTCCTACAAGGACTTTGTCTCTGTGAGTGACTGCATGTAAATACAAAGCACTCCTGGTGGCAAATGTCATCTGGCAAACATTGCAGCTGAAGGGCTGTTCTCTGATGTGCGTTCTTTCGTGCCTGACTATGGAATTTCTGAAGGCACTGGAGAAAGGACAGAAGGAGCAGCTGTAACTGGACTTCTGTTCACCCTCTTGCCTCTCGCCCAATTGTTCTTGAGAGGAGGATGGGTCAGTGTCTTCTTCGTGCCAGCTTTCTTCTGCATCGACCAGCTCTATTGGAGACATGCCAAAACAAATTTCTTCTGATCAATTGGTACAGGCTGGACAAGTGGGAGCAGTGACTAACATCAGTTACACCAATGTTAAAAAAAACATTGGTCTTAAAAAATATTTTAATACTATTTTTTAATGATTAAACTGAACACACAGGCTCGCTGGTGAAAAAAAATTTAACACCTGAGAGAACAGTGGCTTTTATTGTGACCCAAAAATACAATGACCCATTGTTTATAGCTAGGATTCCGTGTTTTCGGAGTTTATTTTTCGTCATATTCGGAAAGCGTTTTTCGGAGTTTATTTTTCGTCATATTCGGAAAGCGTTTTTCGGAGTTTATTTTTTTTCCGAAAATTCGGAGTTTATAGGAGTTTATTTTTGTTTGATTCCAAAATCTCCGGAATTTAAAGCTTAATTTCACAGTGTTTCCTATGAAAAATAAATAATATCCTGGTATAAACATATGCTAGATAAAGAAAAAATAAAATGTGCTTATATCAATTAATATTTCTTCGGCTGGATTTGGCATTAGTGTCATTGCCATTAGCAATACTAATTTGTCCCACCATAAAAGTTACACACATGTGTGGCTTCAATAAACGTCAATACCTTAAAAATAAATTCCTGGAGGTAGTCGCTGGGAGGTACATATTCATCCCATCCTATTCCATGCCACCCCGTGGCCGCGCGGAGTGGAGTGGTAAAGGATGAAATAGGGAAGTTTCAACTGGCCCTCTTCCCAATTTTATGCAATCACTATGGTCCATAGTTTTCACTGTTACAAAAACACAACCTCTCTTTCCTCTTAAAACACATATAGTATAACATAAACTGGAAATAAAAATGGAAATCAATACAGATCTCCTCCTGAACCCTGACGAGATAAGTGGTAAAAAGTCTTTTGTCAATGATCCGAGATTTGAAAAATAACTGTGATGGCATTTTCCCGGGACCATTGACCATGCACGCTGATCAAACTTAATTGTAAAATACCGTCTTTATTTAATTTTTTTTCTTTGGGGGGGGGGGGGGGGGGGGGGATAAATCTGAAATGACCAAAATTTTACCAGCGGGTGTTTTTCGAAGCTTTAGGATTTATCCGAAAACACGGAACCCTATTTAAAACAAATCTTGGCGGGATAAGCGGTAGGTGCTCTTTTGACAATCCTAAATTTACAAGGAAACTGGGGTGGCGTCACAAAACTACTGAGCCTGTGCTCTGACCAAACTAATTAGATAAATAATGCCTTTTTGTTTCTTTTTGCCATTGTGACCTCAAACGGTCTTTTCTGGATAGATCTGTAGTGACAGAAATTAACCGCCGAGTGTGCTTCAGATTATTTAGGATTTATGCAAAAACGCAGAACCCCAGTTATAACCTTTTTATGAATACAATAAAATTCTGATCATGTTTTTTTGCACTCTTTATTTGTAGAATATGTAGCATACTTTTTACTATAGCATTGAATATGGTATTGTAAAACGGTAGGGCAGAAACGATTTCCAAGTTGTGATTTTCTCTGAAAGTAGTACAAACAAAAAAAGCACGAGGTACACCTAAGCACTTCTTATGAGTTGTGAATGCGAAAGCATGAAGCCGCTCGTCCGCTCCCTTTCTCGTCTGCTGCGTACTTTTCGTTGCCGGTCAGCACGTATGCTCCCCTGGGCACGCTGACCTTGGACGCTCCGCGTTAACGGCGCGCTGATGGACACACAGCGCCATGGGGTGAGCGGTCGTGGAAACTGACAAGCGCAGCGGCCAATGGGAGCCCCGTCGACGCGCGCCAGCCAATGGAACTGAAGGCGAAATCCATCAGCTTTACTTCGCTCCTCTAGGATCAGGGAAACTAGGTGCCGTTTACGTAAAACCGCAAAAAAGGTAGACGCTTAAATATGATTGCAGGGCCCCTTTAACGTAGTAGCAATGTGAAACTTCTGCTTTACATTGCAATAGATCAGGGTCGCCTTCATAACTTGCAGAGCAGATCTGCGAGAACTTGCCTTGCTTGACGACAACAGTGGCTCCATGGGCTTCATTAGCGGTCTCATGGAAAGTGGACGGGCCGTGAGCATCTCCATACTCTTGGCCGTCCCGGGACGAAGTGGTCTGCGCTTCATCTTCTGTAGGAGAAATTATATGCAAGACATGCTTAAAGGGAAACTCTGGTCAATAACGAAACCATAATAAATGACGGGTATCGCTTTAGTGACACGAAATATGATCACAGCCGAAATATTACGTCAAAGTGAAGCCGCATACTCCACCAAAAACCAATTTTAAGTATGCGAGCAGCTGCTCTTTAGCGGGTGGCAAGGTTGTTAGCTTTTACATAAGGAACACTGGTGCAGCAGCCCTATGACATCACGTTGCGGTGGAGCTGTGGCTGATTGGTTGTACCACGTACCGCAGCACCCACTCCGAAGTCTGAAGCCTAAAGCACCCTTATGATGCCACGTCGCAGTAGTACGGCTGATGATCAGTCTTGCCATCCCCTAGTCGATAGTTTTGGTTTTGCCGCAGACGGTCGAAACCAAAATGAGTTGTGATGATTATAAAACTACACATAATATCGAAGAAAAAATTATACCTTGTAATTCAGGGACACTGGCTTAGCTAAAAACAGTCGTAATCCCAAATTAAAAAATATCTACCGGAGTTGCCCATTAAGACATGCTAGGTATGAATTATGGAAGCCTAGCCAACACAACCCCTAGCCTCTTTGCTTCCGATTTCTTGCCTTAAGTTCTGTTGCGTCTCATATGAGGATATACACCCTCCCTCCTTTTCTGTCGTGACAACACAAATGAAAGTCCCTTGTACCTCGTGTCAACACAAACTGTCAAAGAAAAGCAATTGACATTCACACTTAGACAATCTGACGCCGGCCTGCCTTTGAGGTATGGCAACACTGGTTTGAGAAATGTAGCCAGTAAATTACCACTGCTAGCCTGGGGTCTTTAACGTGCTTCACGCTGTTGCGATACGCAACTACTCGCCGGTACAATACTGTATTCATCCAGATTGAAACAGGTACGGGTGGAGATCGAAGGTTCTGCAGCGTGGCAAAACACGGGCCCTTTGCTGCAAAGCGGAATGTGCGCAAATATGCACCTGCTCCTCTACACCGTTGCGATGGACCGTCGTGAATGATACGGGCCAGCGCAACCAATCTGGCATGGAGTAGCGCGGAGAAGATAGCACGTGGTCGGGCACGGAGACAGCGCGGTACGCGCGCACGCTCTCGAAGCACTTTTTGTAGCATCGTGTGCGGTCCATCTTGCGCGCCAAAAAGCACGGGTTCTTTTTTCTCTTTTTTCGTTTGTTATTTTTCTCTTTCGCCGACAGTCTGGCTGCCCGGTGCCAAAGTCTGCTCGTAAAGCTTTCACAGCGCACGCTCTCACAGCGCTTTTCTGTAGCATCGTCTGCAGTCCATCTTGCGCGCCCGAAAGCGCGGGTTCTTCTTCCTTTTTTCTCGTTATTTTTCTCTGTCGCTGACGATCTGGCTGCCCGGGGCCAAAGTCGGGTAAAAAAAAACTTTCTTTATTTGTCTATTTTTTTTTATTTTCTTTTTGTGCGCGAATTTTGGGGGACGTGACATTTAGTTACTTTGCTCTCTGGAGCATGCTTTTGGACACTTGTTTTAAGTGCAGACGGCAGCAGACCATCCGTGAGTACTTTAGACAATAAAAGAAAGTTTAATTTTAGCCGTTTTTCTGTCCTTTTTTTTAATTCGATCATTCGGATAATTCAACCAAATGTCAAAATCCCGTCGAGGTCGAATTAACGAATGTTTACTGTACAGATTTATTCCTGATCAACATTTGATCATTTACGTTTATCTAGGCTAAAGTTTGTCTCCTGCTGAGCCCTCTGTATAGTTTCTTTCTCACCGCCATACGCACAAAAACTAAAAATATATTACTGTCTAATTATCGGATGAACATGATGCATTCATTGTGATTATAGGATTAAAATCCAAATGGAATAAAAGCCTTATAATTAATGTACATTAGATAAAACCAAATAATCTGGATAACCGGTTTGCAAAACCAGTTATTCGTATCTGAAAATCCAAAAAACTGGATAATCGTCTTTAAAAACCTTATTTGCTTTCTTCCGATTTAACTAGATACCCGGTTTGACAGATATTTGCAAGCTCTACAAAGAATGTTTCATGTTAAAAGATACAGGCGAGCTGGTAAACTTTCACGGAGCTTTACATGTTTTTGGTCGAGATCAAATCTTAAAGTGCAGTAACGAACACATGAACTGTTCAACAACATCCTGTTTCCTCTCGAATGCACTTTGCCACAGCCTTGCCTATTACTATGACAAAAAAATTGAATACTTCTTACAGATCTTGCAAGCTTTCAGAGGTGTTCATTGCAGCTAAGGACAACCAAACCAAAAATGACTGCAACATACTTCGGTGTTTCGGCAGAAACTTAAATTGTGCAGATATCTAGGGTGGGCTATATTTTTCAGAGACGGTGCGTCATGAACCCTGAATGTTTGTTATCTAGGTGCCTTCCCTCGAAGTACAGAAACATAGTAACAATTACTCGCGATCGCTCGAGGTGACGTGAGCCTTGCGGCTGGTACGAGTACAACTTCAGAGTATGTCGGAGAGGTAGGAGCAGCGGTCGCATTTGAGCTTGCCTTCCTTCACGATACCAATGGTGTTCCAGTGTCCCTCTGGGTCAGGCCGATGTAGACATGCTCTGTCGCGGCCCTCGGAGTAGAAGCTTCCGCCTATCGAAGTGAGCAGTACGTCGTTCGGCTCTGTTGGAGAGAAGGGCACATGAATGTCAATATCCCGGGATAAAGAGTGATGTGTGACTGCACTGTACACGACTATAGTCGGTTACAGGTTAAGAAGGTAGCGGCAAATGCCCCTCAAAAGGAATCATATATCCCTCCGCCACCTCCGTATCCAATAGCGTCCCATCGTTTCCGTGATGTCGTGGCCAAAGCGCGAGGAGGGTCTTGCCTTTTGTACATATTTGCTTTATCTTTCGACTTTGACTTAGCATTGTGGAAGCCACAAGAGGGAGATCAGAGTTTTCCCCCTCCAATGGAAACAAATAAGCCTTTCGGGGATTAGCTTCCACCTCCGATGGATACAAAGGCTGCTTTCAGGGGCTCGGTTCCCCCTCCAATGAATACAAAGGTCGCTTTTTTAGAAAGTGGGATCGGAGACAAGTTGTAATCCATTGAAACGGAACAAGGAGCGTTTCCAGTGAACTTTTCTTTCGACTGCGGAGAGATTTGAAACGGGCGCATCACGCTGGTGGGTGGAGCTTTTCCTACCTTCTGGACTTGTAACCAACTATAGACAGCGAGCAGAAACAAAGTATAAAGCCGAACCCTGGCTATGATGAATTCAAGAAATATGTTTGTCTATCCATACATCTGGACTTCACAAAGCACTGACTTTTACGCACATGGCATGTCAGTCATGCAGCACATATAAAAAAAGCTTGCATACACTCTCCCGTCTTTTGTATGTTGTGCGAAGTGGCCGCAATAAAGCCACATTAATGTTTATGCAAAACCTCATGCACACGTGTGCATATTAAAGGGGTAGGGAAACAAAACTTTAGAACCTATTTTACCGTTCAATGTTGAAGCACCGCGGCGACACCAACTTTTTTTTTTTTTTTTTTTTTCAGACATACGAAACGTTCATTTGATAAAATCAAACGATTACCAGATTCCACCTGGTGGGTGTTCCCAAAGCTTCTTAGAATTCCGTTACGTCAATTGTCCCATTAAAGCAGTGCCACCACAGGGAAGTATGGCACCAAGTTAAATCCGCGAGCTTTGCCTGTTGAACTTGGTCGAGTCTGATTTCCCTTCTCTCCTGCACGTGAGAATTCAGCTTATGTGGCTGGGGAATAGACAGGAAGGCGGGGAGAGGTGGTGCAACCGAGAGGAAGTTGAGAGTTTTGGGACACACGCCCCAAAACTCCACTGACTTCCTTTCAGTTTATGTGTGTCCAAAAAAACTGTAAGGATTCATAAATTTCATCCCGTACTTCTCGGTTTAATGCGTGGTTTGTCAGGGGATGTCTTACTTGGTCCACAGTTAAGTATGAACTACATGCGAGTGATACTTACAAGTGACGTGACAGGGCCTACTGTCGCTCAGTCTGTCAAAACCCCATGCAAGTGATGCACGTCACAATAAAAAAACAGCGACAATCATCACACGCACGTGCGTGCAGCGGGAGCGCCATCACAAAACGTTTTGTTCCATTGGCGCTCGCTCACACCCTGCTCTCAACCCGACCCACCTCCGCACAACACGTGAAAACAAAGCAATGTTTTCTGGAAACCTAGAAACAAGAGAGGGAAACCTAGAAACAAGAGAGGCGACAGGTGACAGCAAGGGACAATGGCAAATTTTGTTGCCGTTGCTTGTTCTGTCACTCGCCAAATTGCTTACACGTGGTTCAGGCTTTTTACTGTTGCGGAATGCCTTTCTAGTAGCTCGTCTGCTTCTTGGATCACCCCCCAAACGACCGTCTGTCAACGTCTTTCCAGTGTTGTCCATTAACAAAATTGAGATTCTCCATAAAGTACTGAGATACAAAGAACTGCATACTTATGCAACTTAGTAATCTTGTAAGATTTGTGTCGTGTTTCCATTTCCGGTTTCTACTATCAGCGCCCCTGAGAAGAGGCGCAGCGAGCTGCCGCGCCGCGAGGAAGTTGTTCGTCAGTCGCATAATAAAGATCAGTCTAGAAGGGTGCAAACTCGCCTTCTTCTGGACACCCGCATGCACACAACAACTGGCGACAAGTGACTGGGTACTTTTCTTCTGCCACTGCAAGAAAGTCTCACCGACGGAATCACCATGGCTCATATCGGGCAAGCGGAAGCTTTTGATGAATCTTTAAGTGATTGGCCATCATACAAGGAACGTCTTTTGTCACATTTTGGCGTGAACAAGAGAGCAGAAGCCGACAGAGTGCAAGCGTTTCTTAGTGTCATTGGACCGGAAACATATGGATTGCTAAAGGCACTAACGGCCCCGCAAGTTCTACCAACAAAGACTTTTGAGGAACTAACAGCTCCTTTGAGGGAGCATCCCACCGCTTGCGTGTCAATCATCGGGGAACAAGCCAAATTTCATTGCCGTTCGCAGCACGAAAATGAGTCCATTTCGAAGTTTGTGGCGGAGCTTCGAAGAATATCACAGTGATGCGAGTTCGGCAATTTCCTGGACGAGTCCCCACGTGACCGTTTTGTATGTGGTCTGTCCCGCATCAACATTCAATGTTACTTGTTCACAGAAGACAAGACTCATACTTTTCAAAAAGCGGTCTAGCGAGTGCTTGCCCTCGAAGTGGCTACTCGGAACACAGAAAATGTGCATGCGCCGGATGCGAATCAAGTGAGCAGCCGTTGGAGCAGTGACATTCACGAAGTGTGAGCAGACGCCTCACCACAAGTGCAATCTACAGCCGAATGTTATCGTTGCGGTTTGCCGAAGTATTTCGCCAACTCATGCCCGCACGTTGCCGCTATGTGTTAGCTGCAGAAAAAAAGGCAACCTGCAGCGAGTCTGCCCTAGTAAAATAAAGAAAACTTCGCAAGAGTTTTAGAAATCTGCTCTTTGCAATGGATGTCGGGTTCTTTTGGGACCACTTTACCAGTACACTGTAACAGAATATTAGTACTGCATACAAAGTAGCATACTACCTCATACAGTGGGCAAAGTTTTTCCCAAACTTTTATGAGAAAAAACAATGCTTTGGCATTTTGATCGTGTATGCTTTGACTAAAACAACAAAACCCTGATCTTAAGTTTACACACCTCTGACTTCACTACATATAGAGAGGGAAATTAGTCAAGCTCCACAAGAAAACATTTTTTGCTATTGTTCTCAAGTTGAAAACACGCTTAAGGCTCTGTTATACTCCGACGTAACGCGCGCGCAAGCGAACGCTGGCCGAAGTCGGCTACGTCACGTCAGTCACGCCGCGCGCGTCAAAACTTCGACCTCTCTATACTCCGGCGGCCCTGGCGACTCCCGCGGCGCGCGTCGGTGGGTCGCCAGCGCAGCGCATGCGCAGAATCTGGCTACGAGGGCGCGCTTCCCGCGAGAGTGCGCCATTTCCGGTTCCTTTTCGTTTCGAATAGCAGACGAGGCAGACGACGCCTCTTGAGCGCCAAGTCAGCCAAGTTCGAGCGATGGCGTGGACGTACCTTGCCCGACAAAAACTCGCACTTGCATTGTTGGTGCCCCGCCTGCGCCGCAAGCGTATGCGGTCAATGTGCATACGGTACATCTTTGACAAGCGCACGGTCTACGGTACTCAAGCTTCCTCTGTCGTAGACACACGGGTGAGGACGAATTCCCTCGATCAGCTTCTCGACGACAGAGTCCAATTCTTCAAACATGACGCCGTACGGAGTGGTGCTCCTGTCGTCTGCTTTGCTCGTATTCGCCGCGCTTCCCGCGTGAGGGTTGCCGGGAGCCAGCGCGTGATGCATCCTGGTCCGGCGTCGCTGGCGCGGCCGGCGCGGAATACGGCATGCTCCATTTTGGCGTCGAGGCGGTCAGGCTGCGTCGAACGCCGCCTGTCGCGTTCGACACGACGCCGGAGTATTGGGGAGGAGGACAGACCGTGACGCCCCAAGCGGTTAACTTAACAACTACACGGATGGGGACAACAAATACAATGACGCAGCGCTCGGCCGACATAACCGAACGCGCCGTCAGCGTTCGTCTAGAGTTCGTGCTCTCCGGCGAGGGGGAGGAGGGTTTTTTTTTTTCCCCACTACGGGCTGCATGAACAATGCAGCATGCACGATCCCAGTTCAGCACAAAAGCCGAAGTGGGTCAAGCTCGCATTCTCTGAGGATAGATCCGGCACTTAACGTCGCTCCGTCGATTGTTAGTATTTTTTACATTAAACTGTGCCCCGCGCTCTATTGTAGAAGATGACATGGCTATGCCCATAGGGCCTGTCGGCATGTGCACAGGCCTTGTGTTGAGTAAACACCGAGCGTGGGGAAAACAAACGGGTCAGAGCGCCCCCTATAGTTCGATCTCCTGCCCAATAGAGCGTCGGGTTTTCGCTGACGTGACGTCGCTGTGACGCGCTCGCACGCGCGCACGCGTTACGTCGGAGTATAACAGAGCCTTTAGTCTTAACCTCCCAGAGGCTTCTTTTCGACAAGATTGGCCATTGCACACCTCTTACGGCAAACTTCCACCTTCGGCACACCCAGGATCAAACTTATTTAGCTGGGCTCTTCCTGTACTTTCTAGCTTTAAACAGGGGCAACTGTCCCGTTTTTTAGCGGTCATTCTGAACACCATATCAACAAGGTTTCATTGTATATGGAAAAAAAAGCCAACCCAAAACACCATCCCAGTGGTTCTTTTCACTTGCCCAGATCCGACGGAGTTGCGATGTCCACCGCATTCGTCGTGCTGGCAACCCTCTCCCCCATGTGTCTCCTCTTCTGGTGGGCCTTTAAATAGCCTTTTCGCGTAAACGTCTCTCCACACGCATCACACATGAACGGCCTCTCCCCCGTGTGTGGTAACAGCTGAGTCCTCAGGTTGCCTTTGTCATTGAGACGCTTCACACATGTGCTGCACTCGTAAGGCTTTTCACCCCTGTGAATCCTTTCGGGGTCCCTCAGTTTGTCCTTGAGTGAAAACGCTTTCTGGCAGGTCAGGCACTGAAACGGCCTCTTGCCCGTGTGCACCCTCTGATGGGTAGACAGGTTGGACATCTGGGCAAACGTCTGCTGGCAGATGCCACACACAAAAGGTTTCTCGCCCGTGTGCGTTCTCTCGTGTTTTGTCACGTCGCTTGTCCTGATGCGGGTGTAGGAGCAGAAGCGGCACTGCGTCTTGCTGCCTTCCTGCAACTGCCTGTTGCTGATCTCCTCGCAGTCGAAGCTTCTGCCCTCGTCATCGGAGGCTCGATGGTCGCCCAGTTCTGAAGGAGAGACATAGTCCAAATCAATAACTTTTTCCAAATGAGACACAAATTAGTAAGTGGCCAGCATTTGCCTAGCAATGTCTGGCAGATGTGGAGGTTACGCAATTTACATGAACTTGAGCATATTGGATGACAGAATTCGAAATACAGAAAGAATGTTTGAGGACAGGAGAAACTGCAATAAAGGAACCAACCGGTCACATTTTTTGCCCTTTGTGCTGCCCGAACATTAGTATAAGAAATTATTCAAAGAAACCTTTCACTGCAAGAAAAAGCATAGTTTGCATTCCATTAGATATGAGAGCTTTAGGTTTGAATCGGAGCTGGGAAGCTATGAAAGCCTCAACCATGTGTGTTCACAAAATGGGCATACATGATACTCTGCTTTAGTTAAGGTACCATACTAGCAGTGAAAAGGCTCTGGGCATGTGATCATAGCTCTGAACGGTCTCTCATTCCTGCAATCGTGATTTTATTCTAGTCAAGGCAGTGACACTGCACTTTTGGCTCTAGGAGCATTAAAAAAAAATCAAGTTACAGTAAAACCTCGTTATAACAAAGTTGAAGGAGCGGTCGTAATTATTTCGTTATAACCATTAGTTTGTTATAGCCAATGTCCATTTCTTCCCACTATTAGCAAGCAAGGGGAATTATGATTGCTTTGTTATATCCATTAGTTAGTTATATCCCATTTTGTTATAACGAGGTTTTACTGTATATCATTGAGCACACTACTTTTTTATGCATTACTCAGAAAATCTGCATTGTCAGTTCGTTCTTTGGCAGCACAAGAATTATTTAAAGTAGAATAAAGTGGCACATCCTTCTACATGACAGTCACCAAAATATTAAGCCATTATTACTTTAAAATAGACTTCCAAGGTGAAGCATGGAATCCAGAATGAGGCACAGGAGTGCCATAAAACAGGGGTAATAAAATATTTTACAAGAGGCAATATGCTAACACTTCGCAGTATTACTTGCGCAAGAAGGGTAATATTACATGCAACAATTAAAAAAAGTGAGGTGCAAAAAGAGCAGCCGAAGAAAACTAGAGCTGGACAATGCCATTAAAGGAAAGGAGCTCAAAGCCTCGAATTGGAAACACAAATGCATTTAATTATTCAAGAGGGAAATATTGCCTGAAAGACAATCCATAATGTATTCATTTCAGATGACCCTTCGCATAAATACTGCTTAAAATGTACTTGTGTAGTACAATCACAATATTTAAAAAGAAGTCAATACTCCATAAAAAAACACCCACGGCTCGAGTTTTCTTTTCTTTTGAATTAAGTTCTTAATTTGAAGCATTTCAACTGTCAACTCTGAATTGTCAAAAGTCGACTGCACTGTCAGTGTGACTAAACTGCACAAAGCAGTATACAGAACCAAGACAAACAATGTATGAGAAACACTACATAAACACGAATGTAATTGTTTACATTGCCTAGGTACCTACATGGACAAAATCAACAGCGTGTTCACACTTGAAATCTTCTGTGCAACTAGGACATGATGAAGGTATTACACAAACTAATTGTCCTGGGTATGTACATCAAAATACTCACAAACAGCAATTAAGATAACATCTGTACTATTAAAGTGTTTTAAAAAGACATGTTACAGGTGCTTTTATGTCATAGATATTATCATGCAGACTCAATTGCTTGGATGAAAGTGCAGCAAACTTGACCAGCAGAGCCTGTACCAAATCCCCCAAAAATCCAAGCATCAAAAACAAATAATATGTTCACATGCACTATGTTGACAGTCTGTAGACGTCTTTGCAACATATATAATGTCTTGTCAAGATGCATACAGGCCATCTTGCTGCATCACTGCAATGTGCCTTTGTTGGGAGAATGTTACAAATTTCCAATATTGGGCCATTTTAAAAAATTGCCCGTTTAGGAGGCTTTGGCATGAAAATATGAGAACATGTGCTCAAGTGACCGCTGGTACTCCCTCGACCAAGGAAGCAAGATACTGCTGGCTCGATTGAGCTGTAGTGACCTAGATTGGGCTCTCCCGTCTCCTTTGTTCATATTGTGGCTTATCTTTCTTCCCCCAAGTTCATTCTAATACGCCTCTTCACTCTCCTTCCTAATCCGCACGTTGTTTCATCTTCAGAATCTTCGAACCCGATTTTCTGCCAGGTAGCACCAGTTATTTCTAAAATAGTGGATTGGAGATGAACTCTGGCCCATCAGAATCGGCCTAGTGCATGTACATAGTGCAACACTGTTAGCACAAACAAGGGATCACAGATTTTTCCTGTTTCGTTTTTCTTAGAATTAAACAGCTGCCATAAAATCTACCTGCAGGGCAGAAACTTCTCATTTGGGGAACTAACTTGAGTGGTTAATACTCTTGTGAGCAAAAAGCCACAAAGTGGCAATGTCATGTTTGTGTTAACAGTGTTTCGGAGTGTACATAGCAGCACAATGTGTTCAAATGTCACTGCAACAAAAAGGTGGTGAAAAAGATCGTCAAAACACAAAAGGGCCAATGGGATTTAAAAAAAAAAAAGAAACTGACTGTTTGGCTCGCATAAGCTCACTGAAAATACATGCACAACGGATTTATAAAATATTGACCCTTTAGCCATTTTCTGTACAGCATGAACTAAAACAGCATTTGCAAGCGCATAGAGCAGTGCACTACTATGTTCAATATAACCTAAATCACAATTTTAAGTGCAAGTAATAGCTTATGGGATTTTGTACTCATTGCATGGAATGTCTTTCATGACTGCACAATTCAATGTTAGCAATAGAGAAACTTTGATCACTTTTTTGAAATACAAGAGCCTATGTGAATTTGGGATGTAATGTGTGAAAAAAGTGTGAATTTGGAATGTAATGTGTGAACAGTACAAATTTTTACTGGATAAACCAGTTGTGTGGAAACCCTCTACTAATTACATTATTTCGAGAATGTTATGATATTTGTTTTTGTGAGATTCATTTGCACATTATAACGAATGGTCATTTATTTAGGTACTTGAAATATATGCTCACATATGTTTTGCATATTTGCACCATCTGTAGAGAATGTGCAGACATTCAATGCCAATATCACCCCTGCATCTTGAAGGTCTTGTCACGGAAGTCACAGCAAATGCTGACTACTGGTGCCGCTGCGGTGTTGCTCCGAGCTGAGGTAGCACCCTTGGCCGTTATACCGATGTACAGTATGTCGGTAAAAAAGTTGCATCGACGGATGGGACACTTTGTCGCAGTCATCAGAATCATGCTTTCATCCGCTGGAACCTCCTCCGGCTTTGCTGAAGAAGATGGCACAAGTGTATGTCAGTGACTAAGGCCGGAAACAATGCCGCCAGCTTCTTCATGAGGTTAACGTTTGGAGGCGAATCTGCAGACTTTTCATCTTGCTTTAAAACTCGCATAGTTTCATGATCGATGATACATACATTTTAAATGCTATTACTAAAAAAAAGATAGTCATAGGTGACTACCCTTGAGGTGGTCAATTGTGGATTGGAGTCGTCTTTTTCACCCCTGGGGTGAAGATGACAACTTTAATCCTGGTTTTAATCCCCACCCCTGCCCGTTTCAATCTGGATGAACATTGTACCCGCATGCGGTCGTGTATAACTGCTGCGTGATGCATGCTAAAAACCCAGGCTAGCGGTTGTACTGCACTTACTAAATTGCTCATCTACAGCTGAGAGACAAGCCGCCCGTTGAGGCACACTGAGTTCAGGCAGTATGAACATACACACACAATTTTTTTTTTGACAACCCCACTCGTAGTTAATCATCTGGTAGTCAAAAGTGACTACTCCATAAACAACATGCCGGTCAATGAGTAACTGGCAAGCCCCTTGGCAAGTTCTAGCAAACACCATGGCTTTTCAGCTGATTGAGACAACATGGCACACACGCCTATTCTACGTCTTCCACGTGCCATCAGACACTAATCATCCGTCTCCAGACACCAGTAACAAACCTATATCCAGAAAGAGTGTATGCCGGAATTGCTGTGATTGCCCCCGACAGCATCTCGCTAGATGGACAGTATTTGTAACTCAGGCGGAGAACACTCAAAAAAGAAATGGTTACATGAGGAATGGGAATGCTGACTTCATCAAACACAATGTATGCTTGCTGCAAGCGACAACGAATAGCTGGGAACCTTCGTTGACACCGACTAGAGGCGTTCAACTATCACTAACACTACCTTTTTTTTTTAAATCGCTTTTTGTCAGTGCTTATTTCAACCAATAAGGTTATTCATTTGTGTGTGCGTGTGCCTGCACTTTGCACCTCTTGGACACACATATCTCTACTATAGAGGGCTGGATGGCATTTAGCCAGCTTAGCTGTGCTCCAAGCTCAGGGCTGTACAAATACGGATCAATACTGAACACTTTTTGCCGATTGCAGATGTCTAATCTTTGCAGCAGATAGGTACAAGCTTTAGTAGTGGTAAAAATCTGCGAACGGTTGCAAAAAAGTGTGCTAATTTATTCACAGAATCATGACACATACACACTTTATCCACATAAGTAAAACCATTGTCTCTTGTACATCCTGGATTTTTTAAAGATTACAAAGAAAACAAGGGTAACCCTGACACACATGACTACTTTTTACATTTTTCCTGACACATATGACTACTACAGTCGAATCTCATTAATTCAAACTCGAGGGGGCCGAAAATTTGTTTGAATACAGCGAAGTTTGAATTACCGGGAGTTCCCTCCCGGTAATTCAAACTTCACACACAGACACACATAGGACGGGACCTTTGTGTTAGTTTGAATTGTCTGCAAGTTTGAATTAAGAGAGTTGGAATTTATCAGAGTCGACTGTAATACAAGTCTATAAAAAAGTTGTATAAAATCACTTACAGCCTAATCTGTAATGCGGATACCTAAGGGGCCCCAATCTTCAGAAGGGAGTGGAAACATGGGTATTTATGAAAGGAGTGGAAACATGGGTATTTCTCGAAAATTTTCGTTAACAGTTTCTTATTGTCAAGGCAGCACCTGCTCTGGCATCAATCTTCAATTGTACACTTATCGACGTCGAACCAATATCCGAAAACAAAAAATTCCGGTCCTCGTGACTCTTGGTAAGGATGGCCATTTTTCCATGTAAACAGTGTTGCTCGTTTTGAATACCCGAAACAAAACAGATAGCCGAAGGACAGAATAGCGAAAGCAGGCAAAAAGGTAACTAACTCGTCTACATGAAATAAGTTGTAACAAAATACCCATTCTTTACAGGTGTGTTTACAGAAAAGGAACAAAATGAGGAACATATTTCATAAACAAACTTAAACTAATATGCCAGTAATTGTAAAACTAAATTCTTAAAATAATAGTGCCAATTCAGTTTTTTTTTTACTTGGATACAATACAGAAAGAAGTGTAACTTGATCCCTACCAAATCACAGCATCAAAAAATTTACTGTATCCATATCCAGCTCCCTAGAATTTCGCATGTACATTACAAAGGACCTTTTGAGGCAGCCTTTACAATGTCCTTTCTTCCATTAATGGCCATCCAAGGCCATAGGAATATATCTGCTTGCTAGTAGGCCCGAGTCGTGCGACTCGTCTGCTGAACCAACAAACACTCCTGTGTTCACTCCTTGTTCCAAGAGTCACATTCATTAGACAGACTCCCAAGTAAACACTTCGGCCACAGACGAGATTAGACAGGCTCTGGTTGTCCGAAATGCCTGGTGCACTCCAGACCATGTGGGGTTTTGTCTTGACACAGTTTAGTAGCCTTCATTTCAGTGAATGACAGATTTCACATGTGCAGGGAATTTCACCTTTTGTGAAATGTTTCATGGTCATTCATGCAAAACTTCCATTGAAAATTTTTTAGGGCATGTGGGCGATCAATGAGTTCTAGTCTCTAATCCCTTTGACTTTAAAGAGGAGTAAAATATAATTTTCTTTAAGCAAGATATTAGGGTAAGTCGGGCATTTAAAGGGAGATTCATCTGTGCGATCTTATGAGCAGTCGGTCGAAACTTGGAAGCACTTGAGAGAATGTGTTGCATCTAAAGCAGCCGTCATTATTTTGATTGCTTGCATGAGCACCCAGGAGACACTTTTATAGAAAAAGTTTAGGGTAAATGGTGCATTTAGGACCTTTCACTCTTGGGCTTCACTTCCTTTCAAATGTTTGAACTGTTGAACCTTCTATCAAAGCACCATTGGGCAGGCAGAGAATTTAAAGAGAGGTTTGCAACTGCAGGTTATTTCGTGTTCCTTCAAAAGCTACTTCGAATAAAGCAGTGAGAGAGTGCAGGCGAGCTGGTAATCAATCGTCATCTTGTAAACCCTGAGATGGGGAACGATAAAAAAACGGACGTTTTTTTATCGTTCCCCATCTCAGGGTTTACAAGACGTTTGAATAAATTCTCTAGAGCAGGTGGTAAATTTAAAATCCCCTTCCTCAATGTGGGTTCTTTCATGCTGAGTAAGAAAAGCCCTGCTTCAAAATTCACTCTGGTAAGAATGGCCATTTTTCCACGTCAGTGCTTTTGCAAGAAGTTAAGCAAGCCTTGATACAAAACGATCCGGGACAGGAGCCTCGACTCCGTCAGTGGTTGCATCAGCATTCAAACCAGGTACACTTTCATCGAAAGAGTGGTTCAAGTGGGTCATTTAGAGGGCCTTTGATATTGGGGTCGTCTCATTTTAATTAGAAGAACCCTGTTGAAGCGGGGCATTAGGCTGACCTTTCATATTCGAGCTCCGCTTCCTTTCAAACGATCTAGACGGGGCAGGGAACTTAAAGGGCGTTTCACCTATGTGAATCGCTTCATGAAGGGACCTTTCACTTTTCCATCGAAACATCTCGGGGCAGCTGGAGCATTTAAGCGTGGGTCTGTGACTGTGGGTTTTTTCGTGTCGAATCAAGTGCCACTTTGATGTAAGTACTTTTGAGCATGTGGCGCATTTAAAAGCCCCGAAGGGCTGTTCTCTGGTATGGGTCCTTCCCTGCCTGATGGTGGAACTTCTGGGGACACTGGAGAAAGGACTGAAGGAGCAGCTGTGACTGGGCTTCTCTTGTTCACCCTCTTGTCTCTCGCCAAATTGTTCTTGGGAAAATGATGGGCTGGTGTCTTCTTCGTGCCAGTTCTCCTCTGCCTCAACTGGCTCTGTTGGAGACAAGTCATAAAATAACACCTAATGTAACACCTGCGAGGACAGTGGCTTTCACTGTGATAAAAAAGTACAATGACCTACTGTTTATAACGAATCTTGACGGGATTAAATGGTACGTGCCATTTTGTCAATAATCCTAGATTTGCAAGGAGATAGGTGGCTTCCCCAAACCACTTAGCCTGTGCTCTGACCAAACTAAGTAGTTAAATCTGCCTTGTTTTTGTGTTTCTTTTTGCCATCATGACCTGTAAACCGTGTTTTCTGGAGAAATCTAAACTGACAAAAAATTTTACCGCCAAGTGTGTTTCATATTTAGGATTTATGTGAAAACAGAAAACCCTTTTTACAACTTTTTATGAATAAGTTAACATTGTTTTTTTTTTTTTTACATTCTATATTTGTAGAATATGTAGGCTTACTTTTTACTATATCATTGGATATGGTATTGTAAAACAGTAGGGCAGACATGATTACCAAGTTGTGATTTTCTCTGAAAGTAGTACAGATTAATAAAAGGCTCTTTGCACAAATTATACATGCGATGATTTAAACATTATTATTATTATTAAATATTATCATTATTATTAAATTAAAATAAAAATGACAGTAAAATAGTCAAGACCTGAGTCCCCCCTTAACACAGTAGAGCAACACGAAATGTCTGCTTTATGTTGCAATAGATCAGGTTCGCCTTCATAACTTGCAGAGCAGGTTTGCGAGAACTTGCCTTGCTTGACGACAACAGTGGCTCCATGGGCTTCATTAGCGGTCTCATGGGAAGTAGACGGGCCGTGAGCATCTCCATACACTAAGCAGTCGCGGGACGAAGTGGTGTGTGCTTCATCTTCTGTAGCAGAAAATGTGTGCAATACATGCTTAAATGGCAACTCTGGGCAAAAACGAAACCATAATAAATGACTGGTATCGCTTTAGTGACACAAATGATAATCACAGCTGAAATATTACGTCAAAATGAAGCCGCATACTCCACTAAAACGAATTTTCAGGATGCGAGCAGCTGCTCTTTAGCGGGTGGCGAACGGGTTAGCTTTTAGTCAAGGAACACTGGTGCAGCACCCCTACGATGTCACGTTACGGTGAAGCTGCGGTTGATTGGTTGTACTGCAGCACCCACACTGAAGTCTGAAGCACCCTTTGACGTCACGTTGCAGCCATTCCCCTAGTAAATAGTTTTGGTTTTGCCGTAGAGGCCCGAAACCAAACTCTGAGTCGTGATAATAATAAAACTGCAAACAATATTGAGAAAAAAATTTTATACCTTGTAATTCAGGTACACTGCCTTAGCTGAAAACATTCATAATCCCAAATTAATAAATATTTACCGGAGTTGCCCATTAAGACACGCAAAATATGAATTACGGAAGCCAAGCCAACACAACCCCTAGTTTCTTTGCTTCCAATTTCTTGTGTCTCAAATTGAGGGTACACACCCTCTGTTCCTTCTTTGTCGTGACAACAGGAATTAAAGTCCTTTGAACCTCCTATCAACACAAACTGTCAAAGAAACTGACATTCAGATTTAGACAGTGTGACGTTGTTCTGCTTTTGAGGTATGGCAACACTGGTTTGAGAAATGTAACCAGACCGTTACCACTGCTAGCCTGGGGTCCTTAACGTGCTTCACGCAATATTTCTCCAGATTGAAACAGGCATGGCTGGAGATTTTTCAAGTCATTCTGAAAAACATCAACAAAGTTTCATTGCATATGGAAGAAAAATCCGACCCTAAACACCATTTCAGTGGTTCCCTTCTCTTGCCCAGATACGACGGAGACCTGCTGCGTACGCTTTTGGTGGCGATGTCCATCACAGGTGTCATGCTGGCAACTCTTTGTCTCACGTGACTCTTCTTCTGGTGGGCGTTTAAATAGTTTTTCCTGTAAACGCCTTTTCGCACGCATCACACTTGAGCGGCCACTCCCCCGTGTCAAGCAACAGCTGAGTCCTCAGGTTGCCCTTGTCATTGAACAACTTCTCACATGTACTGCACTGGTAAGGTTTTTCGCCCGTGTGAATCCTTTCATGATTCCAGTTTGACTTTGAGCAAAACTGCTTTCTGGCAGATGAACATGAAAGGTTTCTCGCCCGTGTGCATTCTCTCGTGCTTTGTCACATCGCTCGTCCTGATGCAGGTGTAGGAGCAGAAGTGGCACCGCGTCTTGCTGCCTTCCTGCAGTTGCCTGTTGCTGATGTCCTCACAGTTGAAGCTTCTGCTCTCGTCATTAGAGGCTCGATGGTCGCCAAGTTCTGAAGGAGGGACGTAATCCAAATTAATAGCTTGTTTCAAATGACACAAATTAGTAAGCTCGACAAAAGGGGCCAGCATTCACCTAACAATGTCTGGCAGATGAGGAGGTTACACAATTTACATGAACTTGAGCATATTAGATGACACAATTTGAAATACAAAAAGAATGCCTGGAGACAAGATAAGTTGCAATAAATTAACCAACCGGTGACATTTTTATGCCCATTGTCATGCACGAACATTAATATAAGAAATAACTAAAAAAAACTTTCAATGCAATGAAAAGCATAGTTTGTCTGCATTCCATTAGAAATGAGAGCTTTAGGTGTGAATCAGAGCTAGGAAGCTATGAAAGAAGATGTGACTGTGTGTGTTCATAACATGGGCATGTGTGATACTCTGCAATAGTTAAGCTACCATACTAGCAGTGAAAAGGGCTCTGGACATGTGCTCATAGCTCTGAACGGTCTCTCATTCCTGCAATTATGATTTTTTTTTAGGCGAGGCACTGACAGTGTACTCTTGGCTCTAACAACACAAAACAAAAAAATTAAGTCATTATGCACACTACTTTCTTAAGCGTTACTAAGAAAGTCTGCATTGTGAGTTTGCTCTCTGGCAGCATAAGCATTATTTAAGGCAGAATAAAGTGGCACATCCTTCTGCATGACAGTCCTAGATATATTGAGCCATTATTACTTTAAAATGGAGGCTTTGAAGATGTATAAAGCATGGAATCCAGAATGGGACACAGGACCATCATAAAACAGGGGACACAAAATATTTTACAAGATGCAATATGCTAGACACTTGACAGTATTACTTGCACAAGAGTGGTGGGATTACATGCAACAATTAAAAAGTGAGGTACAAAAAGAGCAATTCAAGAAAACCAAGGCTGGACAATGCCATTGAAGGAAATGAGCTTTTGTGGTATCTGCATGTTGTTTACCGCTCTATTGGACAGTTAACAAAGCCTCAAATCGGAAACACAAATGCATTCAATTATTCAAGAGGGGAATATTGCCTGAAAGAAAGACAATTCATACAATGCATTCATTTGAGATGACCTTTTGCATAAATACTAAAATGCACTTATACATAGGGTGTGTATTTTCCGGTTTTAACCGAAAAACACCGATAAACATCCGTCGGTGACAAAAATACAAAATCGGTTAAAACCGAAAAACACCGGTGGTTGGATATTTTCACCCTGGTTAGAACCGAAACACACCGGTCGTTGCACGTTTCCGACCTAGCGAAACCCTTTCCCCGTAGAGGTTCGTCAAACGTGTTATCTCGTGGATCCTGCATTCTTCCAGTGTCTATACTTGGCCTGTACGTGGCGTCAGTCCGCCCTCCTTTCTGGGGGTGAAAAGCGTCTAGTTAACGCAGTGAAAGCTAAGCTCTCACACGCCTTTCCCCAATTGTGTCTGGCCAAGTAATGTCGGTGCAAGCCATGTATTGAGAGGTTGCTGTGGTTCCTGGAAGACACTGCCAACATCCGTGTCGTACAGGGCTACTGACCTTTCAGAACTGAGATGCGTTCCTTGTTATCTGTTTAGTTTCCATGGGCTTTTGGGGAAACGGAAAAAGGGTTTTGTTGGCGGGGGAGTTTTTCGCTGTATATAAAAGGACCGTTCTGTAAAAAAAATTGCAGACGTGTTTGAGAAGGCGCGTCCGTCCCGCGTCTGCGGGTTTTCTCAACCTGAGACTTGCTTCCCTTCGTCGTAACGCGGAGTAGAAGGCCACCAGGATGGGAAGTAAGCGGAAAGCTCAGGATGACTACGCTACAGATTTCATGGATGAATCGTCGTTCTCGTTCCGCGTGTCATTTGTTAATCCGTGCATAAACGTGGAGCTGCCTGAGGGATTTGTGCCTTATGAAGGTATCTATCGGCTGGCCCTCCGAGACGAGAGCTAGCTGAGTGACCTAGAATCAGATTTTCTTTGTTACCGCCAGTATGCTGTGACTAGCACCGTTGATCCAGTGTTATTTTGGAAACTTCATTTACCTGACTGGGCACTACTGTCCCAAGCCTGGCTGGACATTTTGGGATTTCCTGTGTCCAGCGAAAATGTGGAGCGTGTCTTTTCAAAATTGCGGGTTGTGAACCGCAAGGAACGTGCTGCCATGACGGATGCAAGCCTCTCGAAGTATGCTTGCATCCACTATAATAACCAAGTGTGAGAAATATATGCTTCTTCGAGAAGTGTATGAAATGTGCGAATGAAATTAGGACTCTCTGTCTGTGATGAATCGCATTTTTTTCCACCGATAATCACCGATTTTAGCCTCGTCGTGAGACGTTCCACCGAAATACACCGGTGTTTCGAAAATAAGTAAACACCGAAAAACATCCGACGATTTTTCTCACAAATAAACACCGGAAAGTACACAGCCTACTTATACAGTACAATCACAATAATTATGAATAAGTCGATACCCTCTACCAAAAAATAAAACTTGTGGCTTAAGAATTTTTTTCTTTTTTTTACTATGAATTAAGTTCTTAATTTGAAGTATTTTGCCTGTCAACTCTAGATTACCAAGTCGACTATAGTGTCGAAGTGTGACTAAACTCCACAAAGCAATATGTAAAACCCAGACATACAATGTCTGAGAGACACCACATAAACAAGTGAGATGGTAATATTTACATTGCCTAAGTACCTACATAGACAAAATCAATTGTGTGTTCACTCTTGAAATCTTGTGTGCAACTAGGACATGATGGTTTT